AAAAAAAAAAAAATCTATTAAGTTATAAACCAAAATTATAAAGATCTTCCTTAACATGATACCAGCTAGCTTATTACTACTTATTACTCTATCTAAAGAAACCCACTACCCCTACCCCAAGTAATACCCCTTATTTCCTTCACAGCACTTACCACAATCCACATTATTTTATTGGTTTATTGTTTTATTTTCTATCTCCCTTACTAGAATGTAAGCTCTATTGGTGGAGAGAGCATATGTGTCCTGCTCACAACTGTATGCCCAGGCCTAGCACTGTGCCTCACACAGAGTAGGCTAGAAAAATGGACTGACTGATTAAATGAATGAATGAATGTACAAGAACTCCAGTGCAGAGCACAATGACCATCAATACTGTCATCTTCAAAATGTTGGCGATACCCACACACACACATATGTACAATGAGCATACAAACACACAAACTTTGTATATATGCTTGCCCATGTGCATCCATGCATACAAAAATAGAAACACATATATCTATATAACAATGAGAAAGATTTTACTCATTTCATTTTCCATTATTTTTGTTTTCTTAACTATATACTCTATCTACAAACAGAAATTGCCATTTCTTTTGAAATACTGGATTTCCTATATAAACTTCCCCACTTCGTCTTACCAGAATCTATTCTAGCTTGTCTTCGGGCAGCACATTCTTCAATTCTTAGTTTAGGTATTCCCTCAGCTACAGCTTTGGCCATTCCACCTATTTCTTCAATTTCATTAATGAGCTAATAACAAAAATAGATTAATAAAACTAGAAGAGAATATGAACAAAGTTTTATAGTCTTATAAACTATTTTGAGTACCACATAATTACTAACATACACTATTTTACTATAGTGCATATCATTTATATACCCTATATACACTGTAATTTATATTTATAAATTATACACTATTTTAGTAGAAAAAGTAATGTTTCATAAGAAAAGAATTACATCAAGGGCATTAATTAGAAATTGTACGTGTTTGAAGTTGTTCAAAAAGACAACAGAAAAGCTAACAAATATGTTCTGGAAAATACAAGATCTCTCACTCAAATTTTGGAAGAAAACTTAAGATAACATCAATTTTGTAATCTTTACTTTTAACTACATAACGTTTTATGGTTATAAAAATAAAGATTCAATAAAACATATTTCAAAATGCAATTTTACTTCTGATTTAAGCGGCAGAGTAATGACGTACCTCCATCTTTAATGAAACTAGGAAATATCTAAACCTTCAATAAGTCTCTATATAAAGAAAGAAAATGAATGTTGAAATGGTACATGAAAAGAATAGAGGGTAGGAGAAAGGAACAAGGTCAAACTTGAGTGCCTGCAGAGAAGGTGTAGGAAGAGAGGTACTATAGAGAAGCAGGATGCTTTTTCCTGAACAATTCAAAAGAGAAGATTCTGTATCAGATTCTGGAGCCCTGGTTGCACAGTGGTTAAGAGCTCAGCTGCTAACCAAAAGGTCAGTAGTTCGAATCCACCAGCTGCTCCTTGGAAACCCTATGGGGCAGTTCTACTCCGTCTTATAGGGTCACTATGAGTTGGAATCGACTTGAGGGCAATTAGTTTGATTTTACAGGTATCAGATTCTACAGAAGTCAAGGGTAAGATGGAAAGCTAAAAAGAGGGGAACATTTTGAGAGTTTGTATCTGCCTCTCTCCCACTCTGGAGGAGAATTAAATTTTACTGTCTGCAGAAAAGGAACTAGAGAGGCAACAGACTCCCACACCAAGTATAAAGAAGGGAAGGAGGAAGAAGAAGCCTTACTCTTACTGAAATAAAAGGCTGTATTCTGAATGATATGATTAAAAACAAAATGCACACAGAAGACACAGAGACTATGCAGGATGAAGAAGAAAAATCCAAAACTTACATATAATATCCTCATAAAAATAAGAAAAGTTTCTGCATTAATGAAACAAAAGAAGTATGAAATACAATGCAAGAGGAACAAGTAGAAAACAAGAATGAACTTTTGGAAATTAAACATATATAAATTTTAAAGTATGTAAGTAGAAAAATAAAGTTGAGGAATCTCTAATAAGACACAACAGAAAGTCAAAGAGCATCACAGAAAAAAACATGACTGGAGAATTCAAGAAGGTTCAATATCTGATAACTAGGAGTCCTATAAAAACAAACCATAGAAAAATGGCAGAGAGGAAAATCAAAGAAATAATACAAGAAAATTTTCCAGGCTGATAAGACCATGAAATCTCCAAAAGAAAAAGGCCTACCAAATATCCAATCCAATACAACACAAGAAAAAATAAACACACTGAGGTACATCAACACGAAAAATTTAAAAAAAAGATCTTGAAGCTTTCAAAAGAAAGATCCTCAATAAGAATGGCAACACGTTTCTAAACAGCAATACTGGAAGCTGGAATAAAATGGATCAATGCTTACATACTTCTGAGTAGAAATAATTTCAAACCTAGTTAGAATATTAGTCAAGTACAAGAGTAAAATAAAGACATTTTCAAATATGAAAAGTTTCAAATAATTAATCTCCCATGCATCATTTTTTGGCTGATTTCTATGAGATGTGCTTCAAAACAACAAGGGATAAATCAACAAAGAATTCAATATGGTGGAGGTGAAAAGAATTCTCAGGATGACAGCAAAAGGAAGTCAAATGACAACAGTCAGCAGGCCTAGAGAAACCAGTATTAATCAAATGAGATCATTAGAGGGCTTCAGGAAGTATTATATTGAGATATAATTATATTGCAGGATTAAAAAAAAATATCTGTTACCATCGAGTCGATTCTGACTCATAGCGACCCTATAGGACAGGGTACAACTTTCCCATAGGGTTTCCAAGGAGCGGCTGGTGGATTCGAACTGCCATCATTTTGGTTAGCAGCCAAGCTCTTAACCACTGCACCACCAGGGCTCCATATTGCAGTACAGGAGGAGGGAAGAAGAGGTGTGAATTACCTAAAACACTAAACTACCATACTAACAAAGTAGTAATGTCTAAAATTGATAGAATTGGAAAAAATAGTGTGATATTAAAATATACAGATAAAACAAGAGGAAACAAAAAAAAAGGAGTATGTAATGTAGCTGATTCCTAGGAGCAGAATAAAAGCAAGTGCGGGACAAAGGACTACTGTTTTTTGTATAAGCCTTTAAGACTTTTTAATCTCTTTGAATAAAATACTTTAATACCAATACAAATGTTTTATTAAATTAAGTATTAGTGTAGAATACGACAAAATAAAATCTAAAATCCCTCTTTTCTCTCAAACGATTTATATTTCTATAAATCCTGAAAGCAAAGTTTCAAGCAAGAAAAACTGACCTTCAAGGCAGCATTATAAACATCATTCGTGAGAGATTCCATCATATATGAACCTCCCCAAGGATCAGCCACTTTGGGAATCCCAGATTCTTCTTGAATGATTATTTGAGTGTTCCTGGCAATTCGAGCACTTTTCACAGTTGGCAAACCCAAGGCTTCATCAAACGAATTTGTGTGCAAAGACTGAGTCCCTCCAAACACTGCTGCCATTGCTTCTATCGTAGTACGAATAATGTTATTGTAAGGATCCTAAAATATTTAGTAAATCACCAAAAGCAAAATGAGGAAACAGTCTATATGCATTTCAGTTTAAAAGACAGTATGATTAAGCAGTGATTGCTGCATATTTTCTATGTCAATGTTCACATTAGGCTCATCAAATAAATATAGACAAATCAGTGAACAAGCCACATTTACAATTAAGAGCCAAAGTATCTAGTCTGTGCTTAGACACTAAAACATTGTTTCTTATAGTTCACTGACATCTTAAATATTGGTTTTGTTTACTTTTCTACTCCCTAAATATTGTTCTGTAAGTATATTAGAAATGTCTGCTTTGTCTCCTTAAATTGAGATCCTTCATCTCAAAATGTATTATCTTCTAATTATTTTGTATCCCTTGAGGTATCTACCACAACGATGTGCACAAAACAGGCCTCAATAAATGATTAATAAAACAGATGAACAGTGGTCTGTGATATAGGAAATCTCCAGTTCATTTTATTCCCATCTGTGATTTGGGCAAGTTATTTGACTTCTGTGAACTTCTGTCTCCTTAGTTGTAAAAATAAGAAGGTAAGACAAAAACAATTATTAAAGTTTCTTCCAACCCTGAAAATCTGTATTTCTCCATTATAAGGACCTAAAGTTGTATTTCATATTGGGTATATTATTTATCATTCACTTTTAAATGTATAAAAGCAATGTTTCTTTAGTTATAAAAGTTTTTTAAATGTGTCAAAATAATATGTAAACAGAACACGTCAAAGTCATCACCAAACAATATTTTTAATGGAATAAAATTAAGTTACCCAAGTGATAATAGTTTTTAAATGGTATGTTTACATGCTTATTTAAATACATAACTATATTATATATATATGTATTTTACATATATATAAATAAAACATGTAGTTTTATATATATACATATAAACTATACTTTCAAATTTTAATTGGGGAGTTTTATGTTAATAATTCTAACTTTAAATTATTTAGGATGGTGTTAAATTATGATTTGTACTTCTTCCTCATTACCACATTTTTTTGTTTCTAAAATAAAAAGCTTAGATTTAAATGATTTTATACTGTTAACCACTAGAGGGAGCCTATTTAATTTGTGAACATGACTGGATGCTTATAAAAAAAAGCAGACTTAAGTACATTCACAGAGCAATGATTCTTAACTTATTTTACATCTTAAAAATCAACTTATTCCAGTACTTCCACTTATAACTGAAAAAGGAAACACAATCTGAATTTATGAAAATGGTGTTCTTTGGCCAAGATGACATTCCAGTGTTAATTTGTTATAATTGAATCAATTTGTGCAAACTATACTTATGGTAAATTTTCAAAACATTTTTATTCTAAGTACTCAGTGTATCATTCATTTATAAGACCATGCAGAATAACATATGGGACACTAAAATACATATCAAAACAATATGTCAGAACCTAGAACACATCCACGTGAACTTCAGCAAGCAAATAATTATTCTGAGACTAGGTCTCATTTAGATAATGAGGACATTAATTTACACACTGATTAAATATAAGGTAATCATGAAAAATCACATATGATGATAGTGAAAATGCATGTAAACTACCCAAATGTTAGTAATTATTAATATAATTATATTAAGACACACCCTATCTCATGAATTACTTTAAAATTTTTACTACTTTTAATTAATTTGGTCTACTAATGAAAATAAATATTTCAAAACTATACTAAATATTTGTTTTGACATATAAAGTGTCGGATTTCTGGAAATGTATATATATATCACATTTATTTGCAAAAAAGATACTACATAATATTCATTTCTCTCTCTCCCTTCCTAACAGACCCTGATTTTGTTTGGAGTGGCAGTATTTCCAGCCCTAAGTAAGGTACTCACCTTCCCAGTCTCCCTTGTAGCTAAAGTAGCCACGTAATGAAATAGGAGTTCTGAGAAACTTTTTACTTTTTCTGACAAAAAGGAAAGGTACAGCTGGTGCCACATCACCCTGCTTTGAACATGAACCTGATCGCTGCAGCCATGGCACTCATCTTGCAATCACTGAGAAAAGCAGGGAAGTGACATCAGCTGTGCCACTGCACTGTCAGTGAAGCAAAGCCAGAATCAACCTGTTTCCAAATTTCTATAATTTGAAAGAAAACATAATAATTAGCTCTTATTTGTTAAACCTACTTTGTCAAGATTTCCCTTACTTAAAGCCAAACTATTCAGATACCATCTAAATACCACCTACATAAAACTCACTATTTAAAGTACCTAGCATAGTAAAATAAGAGGCAAAGTTGGTTCAGTGGCAGAATTCTCGCCTTCCATGCAGGAGACCCAGGTTTGATTCTCAATGTGCCTCAAGTGCAGCCACTACTCATTTGTCAGTGGAAGCCTGCTTGTTGCTATGCTGCTGAACAGGTTTCAGCAGAGTTCCCAGACTAAGATGGACTAGGAAGAAAGGCCTGGTGATCTATTTCCAAAAATTAGCCAGTGAAAACCCTATGGATCACAATGGTCCAGTTCACTGTGCTTAGGGTTGACAGGAGTCAGGGGCCAACTCAATGGCAGCTAACAACAACAGCACAGTAAACGCTTAATAAAAGTCAACTAAAGAAAAATGGTTAGTTACATTTACTTGATGTAATCTCTTACAATAAAATTTAAAATGATGAAAGCTATGTAGCAAAATAAAGTACTATTTTAAGTGAAAAAAATACAAGATTCTCTTATGCTGTTTGCAACTATGAAAAATGACATTTACATTTACAGAAACAATTAGAAGAGACCATAAAAAAATAAAATGATTGATATGGTAGTAACTGGACTATAGAAAAGATTCTTCTTTTTAAATGCCGGTATAATTAAAATATGTGTAAGTACAAAAATATTAACATGCATTTCACTTAAGAATACTTACAACTTTCAAATATTAGCAGATAGGTTCTTAAATCTATTTTTTGACTGTGCCAAGCTGCTTAGAAGAAAAGCTACGACTATTAAATGCTATACTTTAAATTATATACACACCTGCTCAGTAAGTGACCATCCTGATGTCTGACAGTGTGCTCTTAGAAGAAGAGATTTAGAGTTTTTAGGCTGAAACATCTTCTCTATTAAGTGAGCCCAGAGTCTTCTCCCAGCTCTCATCTTTGCTATTTCCATATAGAAGTTCATCCCAATTCCCCAGAAGAAAGACAACCTGAAATAGTTATGCAAGTCCAGAATTTGATCTAACTTGATAATATAAAATGGGAAATGAAACTAGTTATATCACATACTAGATAATCAATATGTAGATTTTAATTTCAAACAACTTAATCTGAATTAAAACCAATACCCATGTACTTAAGTAACTTTAAACCTAATACATGAAAGTACAATTTTATGCATGCAGAAGAAATAGCTGTGACTATTTGCTTCAGGTTGAGAATTATTCACTTTGAAACTGATTTTCTTTAAGAAAGAACTCCCCTTCTGTCCATAAATAAAGAATAGTTCAATTATTTAAGGAATACCCAATATGTAAGGCAGGGGCCACCCAGGAAGGGAATAAAACTCACTAAATTACCGTGTTGGGATAGCAAGGAAGATTTTTAAAGAATACCTGCTTATTTAGTCTAGGCATATATTAATCTAATTTGTTCCCAGCCCTGCTATACTCCCTTTTGTCTTTTATCTTATAGCTGTTCTGCACATTTAGATTATTTGTCTGCCTCTAGGCATTAAGTTTATTATTATTTTTAATTATTAACCATGTAATGTTGAACAACATCTGACTTTAGTTTACTTACCTAGGCGCAAATTCATCAATTGTCAGGCCAGCTTGGAGTCCAGTTCTACAGTACTCTAATCCATCTGCGATAGTATAGGCCAGTTCCAGAATGGCATCAGCCCCTGCTTCCTGCATATGGTAGCCACTAATTGAAATTGAATTGAATTTTGGCATGTACTAAATAAAAGAAAATAAAGAATATAACAATGAATAAAAATCTTAAAATGTTCTCTTAAACCCATTTTCTAAAATCAAATATTATTTTAAAATATTCAACTCATATATACTAAGTAGTTTGCAATGTTCATTAAAAAATATTTAATGTTTATTTTGTTACATTTAATTCACTTTCCAATTTTAGTGGCTGATAAAGTGACCCACTATCAGGACTATACCTGTTCCGCTTTTCTAATGGAAAAGAATTTGCACTAACCATCCTTTAAGGCCAAAAGCTTAAACTTTGAAATTAGCTGGCTGAGGAAAGGCCTGGCAATCTACTTCTGAAAAAATCAGCCATTGAAAACTCTATGGAAAGATACAACTATTGGTCTCTACTCATTCAGAGCAAAAGAGAAAGAAGGAAACCAAAAACTCAAAGAAAAAACTGGTCTACAGGACTAATAATCTACACAAACCACGGCCTCATCTACCTTGAGACCAGAAGAACTAGATGGTGTCCGGCTACACTACCGACTGTTCTGATCAGGGCACAGTAGATGGATCCTGATAAAATGGGAGAAAAACGTGGTAACAGAACCTCAGATTCTTAAAAAAAAACAGACTTACTGGACCAGTTGAGACTACAGTACAGCAGGAGACTATTGGCCTGAGATACTCTTTAAACCTTGAACCAAAACTAGCCCCTGTGGTCACCTTTTAGCTAAATAACAGATAAGCTAAGAAAATAAAGAATATCATTCATGAAAAAAGAAGAAGAACGTAACACTTGGCCTGAGAACCAAATGCCAACATTTTTAATTCCAAATCAATGACTCTGATCTCCATAGCGTGGCCTCATAACTTTGGGTAAATCTGCTAAAGATGTATACATTTAATTATCATTGACTAGTTACTAATTTTCTTAGCTGAATGAAGGCAATATACATGACTAAGTACAAAGTGGGAAAAAATGGGTCAATTCTTAGTACTATATGTTGAAATAAAAAGGGAAAAAATATATGGCTTAAAAATCACAGAATTCAATTTTATTTACTCTGGTGTTTAATGCTAAGCATACCCCAGACAGGTTCTTTCTACCACAGTCACTAAGAAAACTGCATTTCCACTATTCTCCTAAAATTTCATATTAGGTAGGCTACATATCATACGTATCCTGCAGACTCAAAAACAATTATCCTTCCCAAGAGTTAGCCAAACTTAAAATAATAAAAACTAAATCACATAAAACTCAGTACAGTGGTTAAGAGCATGGACTCTGGACTCAGAGTGCCTGGGCTCAAATTCTAGCTGTGTCACTTAACTAGTCATGTGCCTGCAGGCAACTTATTCAACCTTGTTATTCTTTGGTTTCCTAAACCATAAAGATAATAATGGTACTTTCCTCATGTGGTTGTTTTAGGATTAAATGATTCATCTAAAGCACTTAATACAATGCCTGTGCATAGCAAGCACTCAAAAAATGTTAGTTGTGAGTGTATGGTATAGATTATCTATATTTTCAATTGAAAATATTTTATTTATATCTATCAAAAAGCTCTTGAAAAACGTTCTATCACAAAAGCAATAAGGGGACTGAATCACATGAAATTTGGAGAGAACTGGAGTACATTTGGAATTACAAATAAGAGGCAAGGAAACAAACAGGTGCTTCTCCACAGAGAAGAGTTTAGTAGCAGAATTTAAGAACATAAAAGTTTACAGTTTATACAATACTTCTGTATAGCATTATTTGATCAGTATCTGCAATTGGAATTATTACCACTTATATGAAAAAGCAATTTTGAACCTGTGGATGAAATTAAGATCTTTTAAAAGGTGAACACCCAAGCCCACAAAGGCCCAGACCGCTGTGCTCTATCCCAACAACTATTCTCCACCCTACTCCTGTAAAACCATAAATTCAGAGAGCCAATGTGCAATAGACTACATTTCCAATCTTCTCTTGCTACTGTGTGTTCACTGAGATTTAAGTGGACATTTTGTGTGTTCCTTCCGGAAGTTCACCTTAAATGAGAGAAGCTGGGTCCCTCAAAGACACACACACATGCCACCTATCTCCTTCCTTAATCTTGAGATGATGTAGTAACAATGGTGGAGAAACAAGATAAAAGGAGCCAGGTACCTCAGTGACTGTGGAGATGCCATACACGCTAACTCTTGCCAGCCTACCTTTTGACTTCTTTTATATGAAACAGAAAATAGTTTAGGCTACTGCTATTTGTTTTTGTTTTTGCCACATACTGCTAAATGCAATCCTCCTGTGTATCTGTTCTTGAAATATAAAGAGGTGACAGAAATATGGACTGCCTGTTAGAGATTATAATTCATTTGGGGAGATGAAGTAAATCTATGAAAAGAAATAAAACTGCAAAGGGCAAAGGCTGAATATCAAATGAGGAGTGTAGCAATAGTTGCAAGAATTCTGAGATAATAATAACTACGAGAGGTGAAAGAGATAAAAACGGTTTGATGGAGGAGGACGGATTTGCCCTGCATCATGAAATAATGGTTTAATTTTAAGGTAAGTAAGGAGAAGGGGCACACTGTCAGCATGAAGTGTGAGTGATGGCAGAATATATATATGAATTGCTCAGAGGAAAGGGAGGAAGATTTGTTTCCCAATGGAGGAACTGCTATTACTATAGGAACGCTCTTAGCTTCTTTTCCAACCGCTCTGACTGGGGAAGATGAACCTAATTCAGGGTGAGATATTAGGGATCCCATATGGTAGTATACATAAATGATATCCTCCAATCCAGCTTTTAGCAGAAATCACGCTGATATTTTGACCTCCATCTGTCTGACACCAGTGTCTACTTCACAACTGAATCTGAATTCTGGACAGAAATAAAGAAGTATAAATTTTGAGCCCTTCCCCCCAGAATATACATTTTAATAATAGAGAGAAACACAGTAAATGTCTATGGCCAGATTCCTACAGGTAATGACATATCATAAAATGAGTACATTAAAAACAAAAATCTAACAGCAAAAAAATCCCACTTATTTACTATATTTCCCAAGATTCAGTTACCAACTTCAAATTAGGTTATGACATTTTGTAAAACTTACTACATTAAAAGAACAATAGCAGAACCTATAATAACCACAAAGGATACCTTTGCTGTGTACTGGAAGATGTCAGCAATAATTTTCATAGATGGTTCTGGAGGAAAAATGTAGGTATTTCTGACCATGAACTCTTTAAGTATATCATTTTGGATTGTACCAGTAAGTTTCTCTTTAGGGACGCCTTGCTCTTCTCCAGTTACTATAAAAGTTGCAAGAATTGGAATAACTGCTCCATTCATAGTCATGGAAACTGACATTCTTTCTAAAGGAATTCCATCAAAAAGAATTTTGGTATCTTCCACAGTGTCAATAGCAACTCCAGCCATTCCAACATCACCACGAACTCGGGGGTTATCTGAATCATAACCTCGATGGGTTGCCAGATCAAAGGCAACTGATAATCCCTGTTGACCAGCTAAATAAATAAATGAAAAATAGGATTAAAGACTCTGGCATCAAAGTAAAACGATTTACTTTAACACTGCTCAAAGTATTAATTTATCTCATCGTAGTATACTTCTGTAACAAACATTATTTTCATGCTCATGCACGTCAAAACAAATTGAAATAAAGATGCCTCACTTTCTAAGATAGTGAGCCATTTCCATGTGCTTAAATGCACAAATAGAGTTCCAGATCATACTACAGTGGCAGGAGCAAAACACCTCACTTATATCCTTCTAAGAAGACAGCTTACCTTAACAGTTTTTAATAGAACTATTTCTAAAATACATTAAAAAAAAGCTGGCTGTTTATATATATATATAGTAAACATAATTTAACATCTGTATATACACTTACTTTTGTTCTTTTATCTAATAGTCATAACAGGATGTCTTGCCTATTTAAATATTCTGGGAAAAATAATGATTAAAACCCCCATAGAAAGTTTTTAAATAGTTAAATATAAAACCTGTTGTAGTCCAATCAATTCCAACTCATAGTGACCCTATAGGATATAGTAAAACTGCCCCATAGGGTTTCCAGGGCTGTAATCTTTATGGAAGCAGACTGCCACATCTTTCTCCCAACTAAAATATACCACAGTAAATATAAGTACATTAGATATGCTATGCAAATTATATATCCTCAAGTTTAGCATTCAAACAACATGATTTTATCGATCAGAAAGAATAGTAATTAACATAATTTTCAGAGAATGAGTGCCAGATTGCACTGAATATATTTGTACTACATTATCATTTATTACTTTCTTTTTGCAGCATTTAAACCACTTTCCCTCTATTTCCAAACCTGACAATTTTAATTAAAGCTTTTCAAAGGCAAAGCCAATTTCTCTTTTTCTTCATGTAACTTCATCTCACCTCATTTCTTTTATACAATGTGCATATAACTGTTGCTTACTTTCAAGAACTTAGGGATTTATTTGGGCTGACCTATCTTTCTAAACACAGAAGTTGAAAAACATCCATTTTTTTCAGAGTATAATTTTAACTACAGAATTATACAACAAATATCATCTCACAGAGATTAACCAACCTCCCCTTAAAAAAAGCCAGGAGTAGAAGGTATGTGTTTGATTATAAATATTATGTCTCACATTAAAATCTCACCCTTAATATTATCCTTATAGAACTTATTGCTTTCTTCCACAGTACTAAAGCCAGCATACTGGCGGATGGTCCAGGGCCTAAAGGTATACATGGTGGGATATGGTCCACGTGTGAATGGCTTCATTCCTGGAAGTTCCTCAGGAAAGTCCTTAGTATCCCTGCTAGAATACAAGGGCTTGATGGCTATCCCTTCTGGGGTGTGCCATGTTAGGTCTTCTGGGTTTTTGCCTTTTAGCTGCTTTTTAGCCAGGGCAGCCCATTCTGGGTGAAGGGGTTGTTGCTGGTGTAGAAGTCGTTGCCATTTGAGCCTCGGGCCTGGTGATTCTTTTAGCTGCTTTAGGTGATGGGGTGAAAGTAAAAAAAGTCGAGTCTTAGCCCTCAACATGATGGAGCATGGAAAACGCCCAACAGGAACAAGAACTGATCTAGACAAAGAAGCAAAGTGTACATACATTTAGAAGTAAGAAAAATGTGGGCTACTGGTTAGAAGGGAAAAGAGAAGGAAGAGGGCATATTAGTCTGATTTCATCTCTTCTTTTCTGCCTCCTGCATGTGCTACTTTATAACTTTGGCCCCTGCTCTCCATAGCTACTATCATTTTTCTAGTTCCAGTCTTCTTCAATAGCCTCTTAGCTGGTCTTACTCACCATGCTCTTAGCCTCCTCATATCCATTCTCCACAGTGACATCAATGCAAATCTGATCATGTCACGTGGTCCCCTCCTTAAAATTTTTCAAAGGCTTTGCAACATGTAGAGGATATAGTATAGCCTCATGATTACTAATTGTTATTATTATTATTATTGAATACCTACTTTATGACAAGCACTGTACTGGGTGCTAGAGAGAAAGTGGTGATAAAGACAAATAGGCATTTAAGGCCTCCATGCCCTGGCGTCTGCTTACTGCTCAGACTCATCTCTGCATTTGTCCACTACATATTTTCTGTCCAAGAAACACTGAATTACCTATAGCTCCCTACAAATATAAGTTCTGTGAATTTGCTCTTACTATTCTGTCTGCCTAAAATGTTCTTTGGCTAATTCAACTCAGGCATCTTCTCCAAGATGCCAGGCTATGTTCCAAGCACGGCTACAAAGACTTCACAGTTTTAATCCTCACCACGCCACCTCGAGGTAAGTATTATTACTATCATCCACATTTTACAGATGAGGAAACTGAGACAGAAGAGCCAGCATTTAAACCTAGGCAGCCTGATTCCAAAGTCCTTACATTTAACTAATATGCTCACAATCTCTCCCTGAACCCACCTGGGATAAATGGTCTCTTCAGAATCCACAGCACTGTTTTCCTGTTTTACCCACCATTTCCTATCCTACAATATATTAGAACCAACTATGTTTTATATTTTTATTATATATTTATATTTTATATAAAATAAAAATTGTATTTACTTATTATGCCAGTAGGAGTAAAAACGGTTTTAACCACTTTGGAAGACAAACTGGCACTAAGTATGAAGAGTCTCAGAAATGCTTACGTTCACTAACATCATTCCTGGGAAAGTTACTCTAATAATACATTAAACAGATGTTCCTTTTAGTTTTATTTGTCACGGATAAAAACTTAGATACACCATAAATATCTAACATAAAAATGAATAAGTGAATTATAGCATATGCAAATGCTAGAATTTTATGTGACTATTAAAATTTGATTAGAAAACAGGCAAAACTAATCTTTTTTTTTTATTATTGTGTAGGAAGCAACATGAATCTTTGATGTTTGAAGTTAGAGGAGTGGTCATTTACGATGGCTAGTACTGGAAGGGAGTGCAAGGCGGGCATCTGGAGTGATGGTCTTGATCTGAACACTGATTACACAGACGTGTTCAATTTGTGGAAATTCATGAAACTGTACACTTATGATATGTGCACTTACCTGTAAGTATATTATTTATAAATAAAAAGTTTTAAATGTTCTGAATAATATCTTTTAAAAGGAGACAATTTCAAAAAGTGTTAAGTGAAAGAATCAGGACACAAAATAGTAAATGTAGTACGTTCAACTAGGTAAAAAATGCATAGAGCAAAGTCTAAAAATAAGTACAACAAAAACAACTCCCATTACTAAATCTATTATGATTTTTATTCTACTTAATCCATGAGGTCCTTGTCATCCATCTTCTTGAAAGCCATATACTACATTTACTAGCTTAAAAGGTGGGTGAGAAAAATCATGAAAGTTACTAACGACATAAAAGGTAATTTGAAAACTGCCTGAGACTAGATTGTAGACAAGAAATATCACACCCATTTCACACAAAATACTCATGAGTTCTCCTAAACCTGGACAAACAATAGGAAAGAGTCCTGAGTAACAATGATTTCTTGGAAATCAACATTACTTTTAGATAAGAACACAGCTACTACTGACAGCAATAGGACTTCTGAATTTTCTCAGAAGATCCAACAACAAAGACTTCAAGCATTCAAAGAAGCAATATGCAAAGCAAATACGGTACTGATGGTTAGAACGTGTTAGAGAACAATAATGAAGCCTACCAGCACGCCTCCAAAAACATCCCTAAGAGAAAACACCTACAGTTCTAAACCAAATTATCTATTAGGCTTTGGCTGTTTACATGTGGTTCCATAGAAAGACTTCAGGAAAGGCCATTCACCTCCGATGTTCAACCAATTTGGGTTAGTGATGGCAACATAGGACATGCAAATTAAAATTAATATTAGCATAAATAAGTCTTTAAACATAAGCATATATTGGGGAAAAATAATCAAGTAGTTTAAAGCTTTATACAAACACACACAAACACAGAAGCTACAGGGTTTCAAGCTTCTGAAAGATCTGTCTCCTTCTGGATAAAACTGAGAACAAGTCAGTAATTTACACTTTTATGTCAATTTAGATGTCTTTCCTATTTCACCTCTCTCCCTCACTGCCACCTACAGACAGAAAGTCACCTTCAGTCCAGTCACCTCTTTTAAAACTATGGGCGCCTGGGCAGTCCAAACGGTTAAGGAGTTGGCTGCTAAACAAGAGGTTGGAGGTTCAAGTCCACCCAGAGGGGCCTCCAAAGAAAGATCGGGTGATCTACTTCCCAAAAATCAGCCACTGAAAAGCCTATGGTGCACGGTTCTACTCTGACACCATGGGGTCACCATGAGTTGGAGTAGACTCTGGCAACTGTGTTGGCAGCTGGTTTTGTTTAACATTTGCAGCACCTAGAGGGCTGCCTGTGAAGCCTGGGCACTCCTTTGGAATCGTATAAGAAGCGACCCCCTGCCAAGTGGAATGCTTCAGGCTGCTTGCGGGGCCAGGGAAAATGACATCGCTCCTGAGATGGTCAAAGCGCCGTCTTTCCAGCTGCACCTCCAAACTCCCAAGGACCTAGCTCAGGATGAGCGGTCAGTCGAAGCGAGAATCTAAACTTTAGAAGGTAGAGGAGCGCGGGATCCCGTCACAGTAGGAAGGTAAAGGTAAAGGAGAAGGTTGGGGGTAGGGAACGAGCAGAGAATTAGAGGACTATGGTAAGAGGAAGAAGAGAGCCAGGGAATGGAACGATCCGAAAGGCTGACGTGCCCCAAGGTGCACAATCCTACTCACTGGCCGGCCTCTACCGAACCTACACCGTGGTGAAGGTGGCTGGATTACGGCCCCAAAAGCCCAAGAACCACACAGCTGGGACTCCACTGCGCAAGCGCAAATTCAAGCTTGGAGGCGTAGGCCAACACCGCCCTCTCCCCAGCCAATCTAATACCACTCTCGCTGGTGCGCGGCTGGCTACATTAAAGGGGTGTGGCTAGATGCCCCACCTCCGGCTACAAGCGTTTCCGCTTTTTCCCCGTTCACTGCCGGGTCTACTTGGCTTTGGATTGTTTGGGCGGGAGTTGATCTTAGCGCTGCTACCTGAGAGTTGCAGAGCAGTAAATGGTGAGTAGTGAAAGCGCTTAACTTACCGGGTTCAGATTGGCGTATGGGTCATGTGGCCACTGACTTTGGGCCAGACTCTGTGGGGTGTATTTGAAGTGTATGAGGTGATTTTCCAAGGGGAAGGAGATCCAGGCTGCCGATTGAGGAGAGATGAAGTCACGCGCGATTTCTTCCCTCTTTCCCCCAGTCATACTCCTCCTCCCTTAATCTCTTCTGCAGCCAGTAGTGGGGCGAAGTGCTGTGTTAAAGATAAGTGTCTTTGGGCCTTGTGGTTACTGCGGTCAGCAGCGTTGCTATTGAGAGGTGTCACTTCTTTAGGGGTAAACACTGTGTTTTTGTGTTGTGCCAGACCGTACCTACCTCAGGTCCCGACAAAGAAGCCTAGTTTGAGATACTTGGTTTCCGCTAGTTTCAAAATAAGACAGACCAGGATGCCTACCTGTTTCCTTCGGGGTAAAGGATAAATTCTTTATTCTTTATTAGGTAAATTCTGCAGTCTTTATTGTCGTATGTAGTCTGCCCACAAACTGCTTTTCTCCTCCCATACACATTAGGAGCTTTGCTGAACTTTTCCTGTTTCTGACTAGGTTCTTTCATGCTTCCCTGCCTTTGTGCTTGCAGTGTTCTCTTTTGAATACTTCGTTCTCTTTAATTTTGACTAAATAGTTCAAAAGGAAACCTGGTGGCGCAGTGGTTAAGTTCTAGGCTGCTGTGCCGGCAATTCGGACCCACCAGCGCTCCACCGGAGACAGATGTGGCATTCTGCTTTCTTAAGATTTACAGCCTTGGAAACCCTATGGGGCGGTTCTACTCTGCCCTGTAGAGTTGCTATGAGTTGAAATCGACTCCATGGCAATGGGTAAATAGTTCAAAACGTAATTCAAATTTTACTTTTTTTATGAAAACTCTCTCTCTCCTCCAATAAACCAATCAATATAATTGATACTCACTAATCTTTCTCTGCCACTACAACTACAATTCCTGTGGGTCTAGGACCAGGTCTAAATTTCAGTCCTTTTTTATACACCGCAGCTAGACCAGTAGTAATAGAAATGATGGCTTTTGTCTATTGAGTTCACTGTTTGAAGCACTTTATGTATTCTGTATTAAATCATTTTAGCTTCACAAAGTCTTTGATGTTGACAGTGTAACTAATGTATTTTACAAATGAGGAAACTGAGTTAACATACTTGTGCTAAACTATGTAGCTAGTAAGTGGCGGAGCCAGGATTTGAACATGGCGTTTATCCTCAGCCCTGGCTCAATCTTAACCACTGTGGCAGTAGTTCTCAACCTGGGGTGATTTTGTTCTCAGGGGACATTTGGCAATGTCAGGAGACAATTTTGGTTGTCACAACTGGGAGTGAACGACTCTGGCATTTAGTATGTCAAGACCAGTGACGCTGCTAAACATCCTACACAAGAAGACAACCCACCATAACAAAGAATTACCCCATCCAAAATTTCAGTAGTGCCGAGGTTGAGGAACCTTGCACTATGGCCTAGAGCCTCAAATAGTCATCAGAATCAGTGTTTCTCAAACAGTCTGTGGTAAGAAACCAATTTTCTTTTTTCCTAACAAATGACAACTGATACTTTTGTAAAATACATTAAAATATGAATTACTAGAAAAATGAAATAAGACAAAAGACAAGACCAATTTTTTTTTCTAATTATATTCAACATGCATAAAGTTACTCTGCCAAATGTTTATTCTCAATTTTATACTTAAAAGGACTGCCCACCAACAGTTTGTGAACCAGACTTGGAGTAGTACTGAATTAAATGTTATTGAGTAAAGACTCAAGAAAAAAATGATTAATAGACCTGAACTAAATAAGTCTTAAATGAGAGTTACAGACATAAGAGCCCACAGACTGTTAGAAATGAAATGAAGTTGAGTGGTTAAGAAGGCTTTGACAAGGAGGTGGGTAAACAGGACCAGAGAGAGCAGCTCAGGCAAAGAGTGCATTATGTGCATTGGGGGCAGAATTATTCATTGTTCAAGAAACCATGAATAGTCAAATCTAGCTAGGGAGGAAGGTTTAGCTGAGTAGTGGGATGGAAGTATGGAAAGGGAGGCTGGGCTAGACTGTTAAAGAGTGTAAATGGCATGGTGAAGAGTTTGGGTGTGATACAGTAGGTATTGAGGATGAATGGGTTTTTTTAAGTAGAGAAAGTGCAAGATATACATGGCAGGTTGAGAGAGTAAGGCATTTCAAAGTTTGTGTGACTAGATTTATCGAGAGCACCTTCTTTATTGGCCTTCTCTAAATTTGCATATGTATTTAAACTATATTAACATAATTAATTCTGACTATTTAGAAAGTAAATGGTGAGCAATTTAGGTATGCAAAAAAACAAACAAACAAACTCATTGTCCTTGAATAGATTCCTGACTCATAGCAGCCTTATAGGACAGAGTAGTACTGTCCTATAGGGTTTCTAAGGAGCTACTGGTAGATTCAAACTGCCAGGCTTTTGATTAGCAGCCAAGCTCTTAACCACTATGCCACCAGGTCTGCATATCTAGCTATATATACCTAGAAATACACACGCACATATATGTATGCATTTATATATAAATATTGTCTAGTTACTTTACCTAATTTCTAAGCTGTTTATTACTCGTTATGGTCTAATGCAAGAATAAGTAGCCTATACCTGTTTCCTTTATCAGAAATGAGTTGGGTGAAAAAGGATTATTAAAGGAGGAGAAGGAGTTATTCTAAATTTAGTCGTTGGCATTCCCATTGCTACTCCCATGCCTGTTTTGTAATTTGTAGAACAGAGTAATCAGTGTACTTCTGTATTCTTAAAATGCATTATAGGCCAGATAGGGTTACAGCTTAAATCCTTATAAATGGCAGACTATCACATCAGTCTCCACAACTATAATCCTAAAAAATATCTCCTTCAACTTTTAGCACAAATTGAAAAACGGTTAATTCATTGGGCTTAAATAAGAAGACCTGGGCATTACTCTCAGTCATGACATTATCAATGACCATGAGCAAGACAATTCAACACTTTATATCTCCACTTTCTTGGATCTATGAATATAATGTTATTGTTTGGGAGAGTATTCAGTAAGAGATGCAAAAGCATTTTTAAATGATTTTTTTAAGTCATACAAATGGAAGACATTTCTAGGAATGAAATTAAACTAGATATTCTTACTCATAAGAGTCAAAGTTATTTGTTTAAAAATATATATAGATGTTTTATGATGGTTGCGCAACATGATTAATGTAATTGATATCACTAAGTTGTATACTTGAAAAATGTTGAATTGGGAAATATGTTTATATATTTTTACAACAATAATATATATATATATAAATGTTTTAAAAACAATTTTAAAAACCCACTCCACTGCCATCGAGTCAATTCCGACTCATAGCGACCATGTAGGACCGAGTGGAACTGCCCCCTTAGGGTATCCTATGCTGTAAATCGTTACAGAAGCAGACTGCCACATCTTTCTCCCGTGAAGCAGCTGGTGGATTCGCACCACCAACCTTTTGGTTAGTAGTTGAGCACTTAACCAGTGTGCCACCAGGGCTCCCTATAAAAACAAAATTATCCCAAATTTTTCATTATGATTTTTTAAGTAAGTTTGGAACAAGGTAGTCTTTTTAACAAAATATTATACAACCCTTTAAACATTTTTCTGTGCCCTTTTAATCTCTACAGATTTTCAAGCTACTGTTATAATTGTTCCATTTAGATCAGGATGCCTGGCAAAGCAAATGCCTCCAAGAAAAAGTCTCAACAGTTAAAAAGAAACCCAAAAAGAAAAATTGGTGATGAGGAAGTGGAGTTGTCAGAGAAAGAGGTAATGAAAATATCCCATTTATCATTCAGAACTCTGATTAGAAATAGCATCTATTCTATTTACAGAGAAATGTGTGAAAACTATGGGTCAGAAAGCTCAGTTGCTAGAAAACTTGGAAAATAAAATTTATTTTTAGTTTTACTGAAAATCACAGTAATTCTTATCATTGTGTGAGAGTTTTTTGCAGCATGATTTGAAAAGTTCTCAGATAATAATTGTTGTTTACTTCAATTTTTAAAAATAAGTATTGACCATAGAATTCTTCGGGAAGGAACAGGTCATGGGCATTGCTAAGGTATTAAATGGGAAGACTAAGAATGAAGTATGCAAATTCTTACAGCATTCGTTAAAAGACAGACGAATCTGTCCGTTGTGGAGGAGATTTTTATTAACATAGGGGAAAAATAGTTTGGGAGGAATTATCTTCCTATCATAATTTTGCTCCTCTCTTATAAATGGATTAATCAAAACTTTTTTCTTTGCTTCACCCTGCTCATTAGGCAAAACCTGTATTTTATTTGTATGTAAAGTATGTAATACTACTTCATAAGCAAAGTGAGTAATAATCTATTAAAAAACATTCTTTGATACTATATAAACTTCTATTATACATTATCACCATTGTCCAGGAGTGAATATTCTTACATATATGACAAATCTATTGGAAAAGCAATTTTTTTATCTTATGTTTAATTCTGTGTATGTGTGTATACGTGTTTTTTCTTCTAGGTTAGAAAAATAGCGAAAAACAAACAACCAAAGCATCCATCTTCTGAAGGTATTTCTTTTCTATATCTATTAACCTGCAGTCTTTCTCAGACTATCTGTAATTCATGAAAATATTCTCAACATCTTGTTTATGGGTTTTGCGAAAGCAAAAGATAGTAATAAACAGCCACTGTCACCTTTTTGCAGGAATAGATAGTACTGGTTAGTTATTTTGGTCAACAAATTTTACTTACCATCTCTAGCAAAACACTTTGGAGGCTTTCATGCCAGTAAGTTGATAGGAACTAGAGAAAATAAAAGTGTCCTACAGTCTGGATTATTACTGATTTATGATATAAAGACATACCTACTGATTTTTCTTCAAGACAAATATAATTTCTGTTCTGCCACCGCTACATAGATTAGTTTGGAGACACTATCTAAATTTGTTTGGCGTTAATTAGTTTGAAGTAGTTGTCTTTGGTTAAGCATTACTTCTTCATGGAAGGATTCCTTCCCCCTTCTCACTCCAGACCAAGGTAAGTCCTCTGGTTTTATACTTCCATAGCGCATAGTGCTTTCCTTTTGTAATGCTTTGCATACCTGTAATTATAATTTATTTAATCTCTCTTCTCTCCAAAACTAATTTTCAAGTGAACTGATAGTCTGTCTCTTTTGTTTACCTCAATATTTCTTATGAGTAGAATAGTACCAACAATATAATATGGACACTAAAAATCTACTTGTGGCTTGGTTAATCTGTTTTATTCCAATTGCCATCCAACTTTTTGTAGTTTTCTAATATTTTCAATGAAGCTTTTAAAGAATTCAGGTCATTTCTGAGAACTAAACTTTTATGTTGTTTCCTAATAATTGTAGGTTTGTTCTTAAAATTATTTGTTTGGGATTTCTATATGCAATATCAGTTAAAATAGCAATAGACAACATATCCATATTCAATACCTAGTAGGTTATGGTTGTACAGTAAAAAGGATATTATACAACTTCATAATATTTTGGTTCTCAAAATGCCATAACCATCTTTATATAAATTTATACTTGAATCACTTTTTAAGTAAAAACATACAAACTTCTGCATTGATCATAGTCTTTTCTGTTACCAGTGACAGGAAAAACAAAGCATACTAATCTAAAACAGATAAAGATACCATCCAAGAAGAGAAAAACCTGGCAACCTCTTTCAAAGAAAAGCAGAGAATATTTGCAAACTATGATGGAATCAGTAATAATGTGAGTATAAAATTTTTCCTTTGGTTTCTATTTATATGTTTCTTACAGACATTATCATTCTAAATGTTACTATCTATTTTAAGATGATAGAGTATTTTTCTATTTCAGAAGAAGATATGTCTTGTGATAACATTAACCTTCAGCAAAAAAGCCTTCATTAATTTTAAAAACTTGGGATTCCATCAGTGAAATAAAAATCAAGTCTGTGTGACCTGATTTTTGGCTGTCTATAGAATATCAGCTTGCTCTGTCAGTAGGCATGCTTTAGAAAGAAGTTGAGTTCAAACTGACACTTCGTATGGAAGTTCCATGCTAGAAGGAATGCAAAGAAAATAAGACAGGATTCTACCCTAAAAGAGCTGAAATCCATCAGCGGGGTCAGACACATAAATTAATAACTATAATACAACATGATAAAAGCCTTTATTGCTCTATTTAAAATATATTTAACATAAAAGGAAACGTAGTTGATTCTACCTGGTTATTGAAGAGGGAGCACTTGAAAGGAATCTGAGAGAAAAGTACATAGATTATGTTGTGTTTCAAACTAATATTTTATCAATCTCTCTTTTCTAGATCAATTTTGAGTAACACTGTTAAAGAAAAGGAACAAATTCAGTATCATCTTAACTACCTGAAAAAAAGGTAATATAGTATGCAATTGAAATATCGATCAAACATAATTTTTTTTTAAATCTAATTGCTTAGTTACCAAAATAGACGTTTGTGGGATATAAAAGTTGTTTTTGTTTTTTTAAGAAAATGAACATTTTGGGAATATACATTCTACATTTCAGAGAATTTGTAAGGAAGAATATAAAAATCACAAACGCTTAGTTCCACAGTTCAGTCTTGTATATCAGGATTTGGAAAATTATTTTGTCAACCTCAGCTTGATTTTTGAACAGTTTGAAGTTAACAGTTCACCATTTGTTATCTCTGTGATATTTATCCTAGTTTTATGTTTTCCCTTGCCTTCATATTGCATTACAAGCAACAAGTATAATTTTCCAAGATATCACTGCTCTTCATCTTGTGGGAAATCACCAAGAAGTTTCTTTTCAAATGTTCTTAAAAGTCACACCACGACCATTGATTTTCAGTGATTTATTCTCCCAGACATTTACACAGCTTGTTCTTTTCATGAAAGAATGTTCTACATCTCAGTTTCAGGTTGCCTCTAACTATGTGTGACCTAGTATTTTATTCTTGGGAAGTCCTTCGAGCTTTCACACAAAAATTCTGTTTACCTTTTCCTTTAAGCATAATTCTCAACCCATATAACAAAATAGAAAGGGTGGAGTGGAAGTCTGTGTGGATTGGGAGTTGTTGAGAGATTGAAAAAAGACTGCTAAAAGCTGACTTGTAAACTACTTAAATAAATGACGTTAGGTTGTCAAAGAAGAAGGGGGAGAACTAAAAAACTAATAAATAAGCAAATACGAACGTTAAAGTATAGCTACTTAGGGTCCTTTTAGTATAAGACATACAGTCACGTTTAATGTATGAATGAGAACATTACATTCGTAATAGCTGCTGTTCACAATGATCACTCTGAGTCATCAAGAAAAGATTAAATTACCCTACGGGGCAGTTCTGCTCTGTGACATGGTTTCTGTATGAGTTGAAATCAACTTGACAGCACCTAACAACAACAGGGGCCTTAGCCCAGTTTCATTTGATATGTTTCGAAAAAAACCTGAATTACAGAGTATTTAGTAGAGCATGTACCATCTGATTCAACAAAGATCCTCCTTGCTATGTTGGCTTGTCTCATTTTTATTACCTGCATGGGCCCCTGAAAGCCTTTGAGTTTACAGCTGTCTCCAATGTGATAAGTACAGCAAAAGATGTATGTATAAAATGGATGAACCTTGAAAACATTATGCTAAAGGAAATAAGTCAGTCACAAAAGGACAAATATTGCATGATCCTACTTTTATGATATAGCTAGAATAGCCAACTGTATAGAAACAAAAGTTTATTGTGGTTACCACTGGTGAGAGGGAGGGAGAAAGAAGGGGTCATTGCTTAGGGGACACTGAGCTTGTCTTAAGGGCAGTGGAAAAATTTGGAAGTGGATAATGGTGATAGTTGAACAACATGATGAGTGTAATTAATGTAAAAAAAGATATTTTTAAAAAAAGAAAAGATTACATTATGTAGCAGCTAGGGAGATAAGTATTTCAAGGCCTGCCTGTTGTATCCTCCTTTTTACTTTCTCACGTTGCTTTCCTTAGTTCCCAAAGTAACAATACCTGAGATACTTTCTGTGATGTAGCAGAATACGACATTAGCAAAATGATCTTAATTGGAACTCTGAATATATTTTTCTATAGCAGCATTTCTTAAAGGATATTTGGAACACTTGTTCTTAAAGATCCATGAATAAAAGAGACTCATGGTAAATTATGTTTTGGCAAATTTGCATATTAAAAGTCTTGCGGTAAATAGATCTAATTTCTTTTTTCTTTTTTGCCTAATATCTCCCAAATTGATTTTTACCCAAAGATACTTTTTCATGTATTAATCTCATCTCTCTGCATATTAACTTCATTCTTTTAAACGAGTTGTCCTCACTAGATTGAAACTGTAGTCATAGACAGCATTGTATATAAATATATTTCTATATTATCAGCCTTGTGAAGAAAAAGGAAAAAGAAAACTCTTACTCCTTCACCTTCATTTAGAAAATTTTAGGAGATGGACTCTGATTGGCTCAACTTAGGTGATGTGCCTATACTTAAGAGCTAGCATGGTGGATGTAAACTATAAACTGGGTCATTTATCTACCCCCATGATCAGACAGACAGGATGGTAGTAGAGTTACTAGGCAGACAAAACTATTAGCCACCACAGTTTCTGGAGGAACGTACTTTGGGAAAGTCTGCCTTATAGAAACGTTGTTCTAAATGCTAATTAGGTGTTGTTAATATAATAGAATGTATTCTGGCTACATTTTGAGTTTAAAAAGACTTTATAAGGTTCTTAGAACCCTAACCACTATATAGAACAGTTGGAATAGTAAATGTTCGACAGAGCTGACTTTTTAAACCTTTAGAAGAAACTGTTCATAAATAGAATCTTTATTTTAGCTAAAAAACAAAAAGCTTATCTCTTAAGAAGCTTAAAGAGGCAATAGGTTGTTCATGTTCAAATGTGATAGCCTAACAATTTTCTGGATAATTGAAGTGTATTTTAATAATTTAATGAGAATTGTGATTTATGGGGTTTATGCTACCTATTTCCTACTTAGTTTTGTTATAAAAATTAAGATGTTGAATAGGATTCTAGGAAGATAAGTCTTTGGTTCTATAATTATTCATACTGCCTGCAAATCTTAAGTAGTAGAAATTTTTAGAACCTAAAGATGCTGCTGTTAGGTAGAAACAACCAAACTTAGTCTTTCCTCCTCGATTTCTTGCTCACAGAACCTCAAGAATCAAATCTGTGAAAGTTATTTTGCTTTCTGCTAAAACTGAGGATAGAAATAGGTCAGTTTCTACTGGTGATCTAATCAACTCATATTTGAAGGAGGATTTTTTCATTTTAATATTGAATACCATTCATTTGGATAGTACTTTAGGACAAAGCAATGTAATTTTAGGGCTTATTTTCCTTAAACTCTGTAGGACTATTTTCTTTGAAATGATTAAGTAAAGTAACTTATGTAGAAGTTCCTTTTTATTGGTTACATTCTTTAAAATAACTGAGATTTAGAGTCCAGGATCAGAGTTAAGTATCAAAGCTGATACTTCTAGACTAGTTCTCCATCTCTTACCCAATAATTCACAATAAATGATAGACTTAAGTGCTGTAATATCCTAAGAAACATATTTAGAAGATACAAGGAAATTTTCATTTCAGATGTATGTAAACAAATTAGTTAAGTGTGTAAAATAGAAATTTTTCTTGTAATAAAGCAGCCTAAGTGCCCCATGAGTTGATAAATTTTAATGAATTAAAAGATTGAATGATGATTTGTCAGGGCCATTTTTTTGGCAGGGGTGCAGGGGACTTACTGCAATGGTTAGCCACTGTTAAGAGTGTTATAGTCCTTAGATTTATGAGAGCAGGAAAAAAAATGAGAGCATTGTTTCAAAACAAAACAAAAACACAAAATTATTACTGCTAATCGTACTGAAAAGCAAACAAATAATCATGTTTTTACTCTGTCCTTAAGATTGCTACAATTGTGTGAAACCCTGAAAGTCCCTCCCAAAAAGCTGAGACATTTAACTAATGTGTCAAGTCTACTGAAAATGGAAATGGCGCAGCATAGAGCTAATGAAGAAGGTCTGGCATTATTGCAGGTATGAAATTTGGACAGAGTCCGTAATTAGAGTGTAAGAGGGGAGAAGAAGAGACCAAAAAGTTTTTTTTAATTATTTCTGATATTCTTCCAGTAATAAATACTAGATCTTAGACCAGATATTTTATTTCATTATTATTATGTTTTTAATCAAAGCAAAAATTTTGCCTGAACTTTGGCCCTCTAAATTTGAAGGTATTATATACTATATTGTTAACTAGCAGTCCTGTTTTTTTTTTCATTAGTGTTCAACTACTTTAACTCAACTACTTTAGTGTTTTTGATTATCAAATTATGGGAACTCATTGCTAAGTGCTATAGAATTTCAAAACATACAAGTTTTTGTGACCTGTATGTGAAATTGTATTGATTAAAAGAACACAATCATCATTGTTATTGTTAGTAGTATTATAGGTGACATATTGAGAGCTTTCTATGTTCCAGGCACTGTTCTAAGCACTTTACAGTTATACCCCTTAATCCTCATAACAAGTTAGAAGTCTGTACTATATTCTCATTTTACAGATGTGAAAGAGACATATTTGATATTTCTAGCTGTGTAGCCTTAGGCAAACTGCTTAAAGTTGTGATGCAGACCTAGTCAGTCTGACTTCACGGGATGATTCTTAGTCATTATGCTGTATTACATCCTGTAGAGGATAATGAAATAATATTAGTTATCATGACTAACTTCAAGCTTTTATTTAATATACACGTAAACAACTGAGAAAAGCAACCTGTGGAGTAAAAAATTACTTTACCTCAAATAATTTGGTATTTGTCCTTGGTTTCTGAGAGATAACTCTAAACCCTTGGAATTTTCTGAGTAAGTAAAGTGCCTTTGTTATTTATACCCCTAAACTGCACCTGAGGGTTTGTGCTAATGGGTGGGGGCTGGCCTGACCAGAAAGAACACCACATGGCCTAATATCAACTGATCTCAGGGAATGGAAGAAGCAGATCTAATTAATTATGACTATGTAATGAAGCCAATAAAGGTTCTGGACATGGAAGCCCCATGGTTTCCTGGTTGGTGAAAGATATCGATGCACATGTGAGAGTAGCACTTCCTTTGGGACATGAACGCTTACTCAGGAAGCCTTCCCAGACCTTGCCCTGTACGTCTCCGTATCCTTTTTACTATAATAAAGCTGTAATTTTAAGTATAGCACTTTCCATGAGTTCTGTGAGTCATTCCAGGGAATTATTAAACCCAAAGGAGTAGTGGGCCAGAAGTGAGGGAGGTCCGGGGAGGCTCCTGAGCATGCAGCTAGCATCTTGAAGGGGTAGAGAGGAACCCCAGATTTTGTTGCCAGCAGGTCAGAAGTGTGGGTGTCACGTGGACTCCCAAATTTGAGGCTTGTGTCTGCCTATTTGGAAGTCTAAAGGACGGTATTCTCTCAACTTGTGAGATCTGACCTAGCTCCCGGTGGCTGGGGTCAGAGGAGGAAGTGCTGCATGGGCAGCTACTGTCAAAACTGAACAGAAAAGTAAAAGTGGGGATTTGTTGTATCCTCAAGAGTTGACAGAATAGTGGCGTTCTGAAATTTTTACACAGTACACAACCTTAAGGGGCATGTTAAATAATTATAAAAATCAAAACAGATGGGACTGTATATCCCTTAGACATTTTGAAGTAGCTTGTATATATGATGCTTCAGTCTTTGTTAATAATTCTAAGTGTAAGGTGGTAGTATTTTATGCAAGGAATGTATCCCCAAGGATATCTAATAATTCAGAATTCACAATTAATTCATTCCAGTTGTTCCATAGGATTTAGAATAAAGTTAAAGAGACGGGTTTTCTGAGCAAGAAATCTACATATATTGTTAATTAATAGGATGTTGTTTTTTGGTGGTTGCCTCACTTTTCATAGCATATTGAATCTCTGTCTCAATGTTATTACTTTTCAAGGGTGTATTTTCAGTAGTGGTACTAGCATCACCACTTAATGAACACTTGGATGACATTGATATCGGTTATTTAAAAAAGTTTTAAAGTAATAATGGTGACTGTTACCATAACATTTAATATTTTCATAAATCACTTGAACAACTCAAACAATAGTATGAATTTTGTAATACTGGAAGGCGTTTCTGTTTTACAGCTAAAATTGGACCTCCATGTGACAGAAGCATAAATAATATTCTTTAGTTTACTTGGCAGTTTCTCAGTGGAAGCACTGTTTGCATTTTTGAGCAGGACTGTTCTTCATTGGTATATGAGGATCTTTGAACCAGCAGCTTGTAGGTTGTATCTGTATTCGTTATTTTTCTTCTGTGTGCCTTATGTAGAGCCATTGCCTTTTTCATCTGCAGCCTGGAGTCATTGCTGTCACTGACTGTCCAAAATCTGTAACAGCTATCACTAACAAAAGTTTTATTTGACAACAAGTTCATTGAGCTCCCGCTCAATGGGGTGCTAGGGAAAAGGCAGTGAGTGAACAACGGCTCTGAGAGATTTTGGGAGGATGGTGTTGGGCTGTTGAGGCAGTTTTTTAAGCTCCTTCTATCTCATCATAAAGATAGAGCCATAAGATTTGAAGATCAGAGTTAAAAAGAAAAGGAGAGAATAAGGACCAAAATAACATTCCTGTGGATGGCAAAAACATACCAAACACATGTTCACAAAGCAGATGAACATTAACCCAGTTGACCAAGCGAGCAGGAAGAAACTCATAAAAATGATACAAGATTTTCTTTTTAAAATCAATATTAGAAATACTCGAAAATGAAGTTGCAGAATTCAGGAGAGAATTAGAAATAAAAAATTATTTCAGATATGCAGACTAAACTAGAAGGAATACTAGAACCAATAAACACAACAGATAATGCTTACAATAAATTGAAGGTAAAATGAGAAAAAAGTATCAAAGAGAAATAAATGAAATTTTAAAAGGAATTGAGAAAAATGACTAATATAAAATTCAGGTGAGGAAGTTCCAACATGGATATGTTAGGAATACCCAAAGAAGATAACCAAAGCAATGGAACAAAATAAAGTTTAAAAATTATAATAAAAAGAAAATTAGCCCTTATTTTGTTTGACTTTTTTTCATTCATTGCCGTTGTTCATTCCATTCAGAGGCTTTGAATGATGGCCCCAAAAAGATATTTCCAAGTGTTAACCCTTGGAACCTATTGAATATGACCTTGTTTAGAAAAAAGGTCTTTGCAGATTTTTTGTTCTATTTTGTTTTTAACGATCATTTAAAAATGAAAAAAAAATTACAGTTCTTCTATTGATAGCTCTTGGACCCTATAAAACCATCCTACAGGCAGTTTGCTAATACCTGCAGGTACTTTTTTTTTAACAATTAAAAAAATTGACATTATAACCATAATATATTTCTTAAGGAAGATTACTGTAGTGCCCCAACAATTCTGCATTCATATCATCAACAGTATTGCTGAGACAGGGTTTTAAGAGCTGATCCTTCTATATGGCTTATTAACTTGTTCCCTGATCCCCAGGAACGATGCTATCGTTCGTTAACTGTTACTAGGACTAGATTTGAAAGCAGTGCTATTTTTTTTTTTTTTAATTTTTTTTGTTGTTGTTGAAAATATACACAGCAGAACATACACAAATTCAACAATTCCTACATGTACAATTAGTGACACTGATTATATTCTTCGAGTTGTACAACCATTCCCACCTTCCTTATCCGAGTTGTTGCTCCCCCTCATTTAACATAGACTCACTGCCTCTGAAGTTTCCTGTCTAATCTTTCAAGTTGCTGTTGTAAATTTGATCCCATATAAATAGATGTTAAAAGAGCACAGTGCTCAAGGCAGACATTCTTTACTAGTTAAGCTAAAGTAAGAAGATTTCAACGGATATTTTTGCTTTTAGGTTTAAAGATTATCTCAGGGCAGTAGTTTCAGGGGTTCATCCAGCCTCCATGGCACCATAAATTCTGGATTTCATGAGAATTTGTAATTCTGTTCTGCATTTACCACTTTTTGATCAGGATTCTTTTATAGAATCCTTGATCAAAATGTTCAGTAATGGTAGCCCGGCACTATCCAGTTCTTTGGCAAAGGAGGAAGTTGTTCATGGAGGCAATTAGCCACACATTCCATTTCCTCCTCCTATTCCAGACTCTACCTCTTCCTCTGTTGCTCCAGGCAAATAGAGACCAGTTGTTAATACCTTGAATGGCCACTTAGCAGAGCAATACTTAATACCATTTTAAAACCTGAAGGCTGGTAATTAATTCTATACTTGGCCTAACAAACCACACATCTCTGATTGCTCCATATTCATGTCTGATTTTGCCTTTGTCTTCCCCTAGAAATTATATATTCCTTCAGTAGGAAACTGCTTTTTTTTTTTTTTAATTACTACTCTTTGCCCTAGTGCCCACCATTGCTTTTAGTAAATAATAAAAATAGCAGACACTCAAATGTTCCTAAATAAATGAAAAAAATTTTAAGTTAGAGTTTCTCTGCTCATTGTTGTTAGGTACAATCGAGCGGTTCCCACTCATAGCGACACTTTGTACAACAGAATGAAACACTGCCTGATTCTGCACCATCCTCACAATCACTGTTATGCTTGAGACCATTGTTGCAGACACTGTGTCAATCCGTCTTGTTGGGGCCTTCCTAACCTGTTATATAGTGCTTAAGGAAGGCTGCTTGCTCTATTTGCTGTTACCAGTCCTTGGGCCCCAACATAGATTCACACTTGGGCCTTTCGGGATCTCTAGACATTGAGACTCCAGTTTTGATAAGTATTTGAGGAAATGTCCACGTATGTGGGATATAGCTCCTTGTTCCAGGGAAATTAAGTTTCCTTCCAATGCATCATTACATTGGCAAATTGACCTTCTAGGAAATCTGTTTTATGAAAGAAGAAAAATAAATTCATTGGTTTCTTCTACAAGTGTTTTAGTATATGAGGTGTTTTAAAATATGTGCATATTTTAATAGTTACCTTAGAGATAACCAACTCATTGCCATTGAGTGGATTCAGACTCATAGTGACCCTATAGGACAGAGTAGAACTGCCCTGTAGGGTTTTCAAGGAAAGGCTTGTGTATTCGAACTGCCAACTTTTTTGTTAGCAGCTGAGCTCTTAACCGCTGCACCGTCAGGCTCCATCTTAGGGATGGAACTGTTGAATTTAAAACGTCGATTTTTTTTTCTGACTCAGGAAGAAGTAGATAAAATAGTGGAGACCACAGAGTCAATGACTGAGAATATTCAGAGCCTAAAGAACAAAATTCAAATTCTGACAACTGAGATGGAAAAAGAAGAGGAGAAGGTAAAACAGGTGATTGTTAAAAACTATATTGCTAGTATCTGGATATAATTTTTAATGCTCCAATTCTACCAAGACAACTTTTGAGTATAATCAGGTGAGAGAATTCAACCTTTTAAAATAATCTGAAGCTTTCTTTTTCTACTTTAGATGCTTCAAATGGATCGTAGTGGGGTACTCTGTCTTCCAGAACTTCCTCAGAACAGTCTCAGAGCACCCATACTTCAGGTAAGTGTCCATCGACCATATTGACTATATCACCAGTTATAGATTGCACATATATAAAAGCATATGTACTTATTCATTCTTTAAACAAATGGAATCTATGAAATAGACTATTTGGCAAATTACTTTTCTCATTTAACAGTATAGTTTGAACATTTTTCCTTGTCAGTTCATGTAGATCTGTCTCATTCTTGTCAATAACTACATAACATTCCATTGTATGGATATACCACAATATAATTTGTGAATTAATGATGTAAATAATTTTGCTATTACAGATAATACTGTGAAGTATACCCTTATACATGTATCTTTACACATTTGTGTAGTCATAACTGTAGGACACATTACTGGAAGTAAACTTTGTTTATGCTTCTAATAATGCCATAAAGCTATAATTTAATTTTATAAAATGGCACTGTGCCTTACTCATACTAGACTCTATCCTGGTTATGTATCTTTTTTCACAAGACCCCAGTAGATCTTATAGTATAAATGTTTATAATAGTAGAAAGTCTTTCTGTTTTCTCAAAAAGTAAGTTAAAATTTTCCTATGAATAATCCACCAGCGATGAGAGGAGCCAGAATGAGCACAGGAAAGATAGAGTAAGATAGATTTGAAAGAAGATTGGCCATGAGTTGATGATTATTGAAGTTGGATGATGAGTACAAGAGGTTTATTATACTATTCTCTTTAAATTACATACATTTGACATTTTCCATAGTAAAAGGTTAAAAAAGAAATTATACTATTTTACCCACAGGAAGAAATTTTGACGCTAATTCCAAACCAGAATGCTCTTCTAAAGGACTTGGATACTCTTCACAATTCATCCCAGATGAAGAATATGCTAACTTTCATCCAAGAAGCCTATAACAAACTGGATACCTCTTAAAGTTTTTATATGAGTTTGTTTTATATTAATTTAATATTTGTGAATTTGTAAAACTGTTAGCCTACAATGATATTACATAAGCTGAGACTTCTGTGGGTATTATTATCCTCTAATAATTACATGTACTTCCAAGTCAGATTATGCAGATCTACCATGAGCATTTAGTGTAGTCCTGGAAACTGGTTTAATAGCTGCCAGTTCTGGGATATCATGTTTGTATTGGTATATCTCCCGTTGTTTGCCTGGAACCGTAAGATAAGAACAGCCGCAGTCTGATAGATTATAATGGCTGAATGGAGCTCATTATTGGTTAGTGGAGATAAAGTGTGATAGTGTGAGTTAATATATGTAAAATGTCTATAGTGCCTAGTTCATAGGAACGTAAGTGTTTGTTATGATTATTATTTAGCTGATGGCTTGCATTTTGTGTTTGGCCATCTGGATCTTAAGAAATCCCCAAATGCCTTGACTCTCTTACATAACTCCCTAGTCTTTTTGTGGAGTGGTTTAAATTTACCAGATGTCTTTAACATTTTTCGTATGTTGTATTACTGAGTAGATGTTGAATATTTATTTTCACTGATATCAAAGCATACTTTTATTATAGAAAATTATTAAAAAGGAACTTAAGCATTTACAATTTATAGTGACTCCTTAAAACAAAAAAGTTTCTATTTTTTTCCTCATTTTAATAATAAGTTTATATATGTGAATAAATGATCACTTAAATATATAAAAATAATTTCTAACCAACTATACTCTTTGAGAGAGCCCTGGTGGCGCAGTGATTAAGAGCTCAGCTGCTAACCAAAAGGTTGGCAGTTCAAATCAACCAGCTGCTCCTTGGAAACCCTGCAGGGCAGTTCTACTGTGTCTGGTAGGGTCGGTATGAGTCAGAACCAACTTCACACCACTTAACAACAGCATACTATATTACTTGGGTTGCTTTTATCTATTTGTAAAATAAAATAACTACAGTTTATTTTTCTGTCTAACCTAGAATATTTTGTCAGTTAATTTAGAAGATGCCATAATTCTGTTAATACTCTCCAGGAACATACCTGTAAACAAGTTAGGTTTAACGTGCATTGCAGTGAGGAAGGTCACACGCCATGGAGAACCCTGGAGCTGCTCAGTAAGAGGGTCAAAATCAATATCCTCTTAGAAAATAATGGTAAAGAATTTTAGAGGGAGAGAAAGTCTTCAGGAAAGAAAACCTGTAAGATAGCATTTAAAGGAAACATTATCATGTATGTATTTGACTACCTACTATATGTCAGGAAAAGCAACTGAAAGCAGTACACGCTGCAAAATGTTTCAAAACTTAAAAACCCATTATTTAGAAGCTTAAAGTTTCATGTTTTTAGAGTGACTATAGAGCCCCAGGCGAGCCCTGGTGGCATAGTGGTTAAAGCGCTCAGCTGCTAACCAAAAGATTGATGGTTCAAACCCGCTAGCCACTCCATGGGAGAAGGATATGGCAATCAGCTTTCGTAAATATTTATAGCCTTGGAAACCCTGTAGGGCAGCTCTACTCTGTCTTGTACGGTTGCTATGAGTTGGAATCGACTCAAGTGCAGTGGGTTTTTGTTTTGGTTTATAGAGCCCCAAGTCACTGATTTTCTTTTTTTAAAAAAAAAACATACATCATGTTTATAGTTTTGAGAGGGTGGAGAGAAAGGGTTACATTAAACAATGCTGTTTCTCTCAGAACATCCGTTTCAAAATAGGCTTTTGAAAGTCAACCAGAATTTTGACTTTTCATTGCTGCTGAGTGATAGTTCTTCACCATAAATGAATCAGCCATACTACCTTCTTGTAGCTTTGAAAAGTATGTGATCTGATCTACAGTATCTTCTGGCAGGTAGCAGACAACCCAAAACATGCACAATTTTTTTTTTTTTTTCAAATGCTACATTTTGGTATCCCCCTTGTTGAAAATTTGAGAGTTAATTACAAAGCCAAATTAAGTTAAAATTCACCTGCACATGGTCTCAGTAACTCAGATGAGAGTTCTATGTAGCATCCTCACCCAGCTAAGTTGTCACATGCTCAGGTCATGACATCTATAATGTAGCTCTTCTGTGATAGCTAAGTGCCAAGGCCAGAAACTTTGAAATACCAAAAATGCATATTTTGGAATAGAGGATAATAGTGTAAAAATGTTGCATATGATAAAGAGAACATTTCAAATAAAATACAAAAAATACATTATTTAATAAATGGTTTTGAGAAAACTGCCTAATCGCTTGTGACAGACATTTTTTTATATTCCTACTTTATGCCAAAATAGACTCCAGATAAATAAATGTAAAAATAAAAAATATGAGTAAAAAGCTGATGTCAGTGTAGCAAAGATCCTATTATACATATAAGCAAAATAAAACCAAAAAGGTAAAAATAGATCATTACATAAAACTGAACTGTTTTAAAAGATAAGATTCTTAAAAAACCCAAAAGCCAAGCCAAAGATGAGACACAAACTTAAAATATAACATCTGTAAAACAAAGGGATAATATTTATAAAGAGCTCGAAAATATCAATAACAAAAAGATTAAATACCAATAGGAAAATGGACAATTCTCAAAGGAAGATATGTAAGAGGCCAGTAAGTATTTGAAAGATGTCCAACCTTATAGTAATGACTTACATCCAAATTAAAAGGAAATATTTTCACCAATCAGATTGACAAAAGATTGAAAAAGGATAAAAGGTAAAGTTGCTGAGCATACTGGTAAATGGTTACCCAATAATGCTGCTGAGGAAGGTAAATTGGTGTAGCTTTTTTGGAAGGCAATCTGTACAGATAGGTTGCAGAATCTGAGTATAATACCAGTTGTTGAAAATTCTTAACTTTACCTGAGCCCTTTTCTCCAATTCTCAGTTGGGCATATTTAACAAACAGGTTTTGTTTAAATATGAGACACCAGCACTAGAACCTAAAATTAAGGGATTTACTTTCTTTTCTTTGGTTGGATAGAATTTCTTGTCATTCTCTGTTTACCAAAAATAAATGCAGTTGCACCTGTCAGAATTAATATTTGAATCACTTAAGATGGCTTAGTTTCTAAACATAAGTCTTCTAAATCCTCTTGTATTTCATTCGTTGTCAAGAAATACTCAGCTTTGAGAAAGAAAAAGAAGGAAGGAAGGAAAGAAAAGAAATTCAGATTTCCCAGTTAATTATGTCCAAAGTGAATGAGTCATTTTTGGGTTCTGACTAGCTTTTCTTGTTAAGAGTTGCATGTATTTGTTAAATGTATTTTTTCACTACTAAACCGCCATAGAACCACCGTCTCTTAGCTTAGGTGTTTGCTCTCATTAAAGCAGCCTCTGCTGTTACCAGGGCTGTGAAATTACTATAGCAACTATATCCAAGATTGGTTATAGTTGTTAAAATTAGACAAAGAGGAAGATGAAGAAGGGGCACTTTCCAAATTCAATGAAACTATTATAGAATACTTTTAAAAAAATGAAATTGTTCATTTTTTAACTCATGGAAACAAACATTCCTTAGCCAATTTCACCCCTTTTACACTTCCAAAGAGGTACTTAAAAATAATGTAGGTTTTTCAGTGGGACAACAGGACTGTATAACAATAATATAACATCAGTAATAAAAATGGCTGATATTTCTTGAGTGCTTCCTATACGCCAGGTGTTGTTCTAATTCCACTGCATCTATACATGTATTTACACCAATATTTAATCCTAATAACAATCCAATAACTCAATAATTCAACCTCCTCACTATTATCGCCATTCTGCCTGTGAAGAAACTGAGGCGCAGTAGGGCTAAGTAACTTGTTAAGTGCTGTTGAGTTGGTTACCGCTCATAGCAACCCTATGTACAACAGAACAAAACACTGCCTGGTCCTGCACCATGCTCACAATAGTTGCTATGCTTGAGCCCATTGTTGCAACCACTGTGTCAGTCCATCTTGTAGAGGGTCTTCCTCTTTTTTGCTGACCCTCTACTAAGCATGGTGTCCTTCTCCAGGGACTGGTAACATGTCCAAAATATGTGAGACAAAGTCTCGCCATCCTCGCTCCTAAAGAGCATTCTGGCTATACTTCCTCTAAGACAGATTTGTTCGTTCTTCTTAAGATCACTCAAAAAGTGATAGAACTGGAAAGTAAAAAAAATAATTGAAACTTTGATTTCTTATGGATTTGCAAATAGAAGGGGCTATGGAATCTAATGAGTAAATCCTATTACAAAAAGTAAAAATCCAACTATTTCTCTGGGTATAATGATAATATGCATTATGGATTTGTTTACTTGGTTTTACAGAAGAAAATTTTTTTATATTTACATTGGCAACCTCCTTTATTTTCCTTTTAACCTCACAGTTAAGTTCAGGAGTTAAATTTAGCTTAGGCTGGTCTCAAATTTAATTATCCTCAACCAATACAATCTTCCTAGAATAGTGATATGCTTTTGCCTTTTTATTTTTTTTTAAGGCAAACACCAACTGCTCTAATTAGTTCTGGTGTTTTATAAGAACAAGGAACTTTAGGGGGAAAAAATAGCCATGTCTGTTTGGAATGTGCTTGGAAACAGGATGTAATCTAAGCCTGCATGTGTCTCTCAGAGTTCATAAATAGCCTGACTCCTGACTTTTTAAGGTTTTCCTTGATATTGTACTTAATATCTGAAAAGAGTATCTGTTCTGAAGATAACAGCTTCTGTCCATTTTTTTAAAATTAGTTTCCTGAGTTAATATTTAGGAAAACTAGTTTTACATAGGATCCTTAGGATCCCACACAGGTGTACATTACCCTCACTATTTTTTTAAAAAGTTATTGATGTACCAGGATTTGAAATAATTGGCATCTAATACAATTTCTTCAGCCCCTTTCAACCAAGGCTTCGAATTGGTTTGAACCCCTGCTGAGAATTTAAATTTCCACCCCAGATATACTGAATCAGAATCTACATTTTAACCAGATCCCCAAGTGATTCTTATGTGTAATAAATTTTGAGAACCACTGCTCTACTGGTGATTCTCAGAACTGGTCCCTAACCAGCAACGTTAGTATCATCTGGGAACTTGTTAGAAATGCAAATTTTCAGCAGGGGTTCGAACCAGAATGAACCGTTTGGAAGCCCTGCTTTCAACTACCAACTACGTATTGCATTAACCCAGCATCTTCAAATGAAGAATGCACCTAACTTACCCCTTCATTTGATCTTGATTTTATAAGACATAAAGATGGTAAACAGTATCCTCCCATGTGACCACATTCAGATTGAAGCACTCTCCATATGCCTTTGAGACATTTGTACTGTTTATTATCTCAAGGCTCAGGTAGTATGTTGTGTGCTGAGATGGACATGTAAATAAATGCTTATATAGTGGTTGCAATTAACAGCCATTTGAGGTAGGGGAGTAATCTTTGAATGACTTTTCATTTAAAAGAAGAGGGCAAAAGAATTAAAATTCTCAAAATTACTCTGAATTCCGTAAGTATCCTCTTTAGAAATTCCCCCCTTTCAGCCTGGGAAGTTTAGGACAGCAAAATTGCTTCCTTCAGAATAAATGAAAATATATATGGGGTCAGTAACTCTACGTTATTTCTTGTACTCCATTTCCCTGTGCCCTATTTCCTTTTTATTCGCTTTCATAAGATCCTGATGCATAGATAAGTTTTATGTCTAGAAAATGTCCATCTCTAAATCTAGATTAGTATCCATTGGTTTTTACACCACAAGATTAAGTATGATACTGTAAGAGAAAGGAAGAGGTACAGTGAAAATAACTGTGTTGTATGTGAGATGGTTTTTACCTTACCAGCATCATAAAGCCCTCCTTCTACAGGTGTGGGCACTTTTTTTCTCTCTCTCTCCTTCTCCCACTAAGGACTAATTAAGGAAGCAGGCTTGAAGAATAAACTCACCATTTATGTGGAAAGAGCCACTACACCGACATAGGGCTGAAAGACCTCAGTTTTAAATTGAACTCTCAACAGCAGGTAAGCGTATATCCACTAAAATAATATATTCCAAATCATTGGTTTATAATTGTAGAAAGAAATGGGAAAAATAGGAAGAGGAGAGATAAAACGCAGCCTTATATGGAAAGAATGAATTATAATTAAGTTTAGCGGGAAAGTTATATTAAGGGTACAAGTTTTTGTTTTTGTTTTTGTTATTTTTACTCTTTTAAATTTTGATATGAAAACGAAGCATTGTGAAATCTTTGCAATGGAGTATGAGTACAACTAGAGAAACAGATAAGAGAGTAATCTCTGAACAGAAAACCTGTACCAGGGGAACAATTACTAGCATTGGAGTGCAAGTGCTTAAAAAAAAACAGTTTCTTTCCTTGTTAAAAAAAATGCTCACAATTGTATTGTAAAAGGTGTACTACACCATAAAAGCAGGGATCTCTTATTTATTTACAAGAATTAAAAATCTCCAAGAGTGTCATACTTTCATTGTATGATTAATATTAATCAATGAAATATTTTAGGTGTTTGCTGTATACTGATGGACAGTCAAGTGCCCCAGAGAAACTTCACTTCCTAAAAGTTACCAAAAAAACCCAAACCTGTAGCTGGTGAGTCGATTCCAACTCTTAGCAACTCTACAGGACAGAGTAGAACTCCCCCATAGGGTTTCCAAGCAAAAGCTGGTAGATTCGAACTGCCGAACCTTTGGTTAGCAGCCAAGCTCTTAACCACTGCACCACCAGGGCTCCTCCTAAAAGTTATCTGAGTATAATTTTCCAAGGCAATGACTTTAAGTAGTGAATTTGTTGTTAATATCAGTTTGGCTAAAGGAGTTACACAATTTTACCTTCCAATTCACAGATCGATTATGAGAAATCTGTAACTGGGTGGTGAAAATGTGATATTCTGATCTTATAGTTTTCACAGCTAATGGTTATTATTATAACTTTCTGGTATAATTCAAAAATGTGTAAAAATATTTTTCTGCGTCTATGAGAATTTCTGCATTCTGTTTTTTGTGGTGTTTAATAAAAATTTTATGGTTAATAAAAGATCTCTATGAAATTCGTCACTGTGTTTACTGAAATGTTGTTCATTAATTATAATGCTCTCTCTGTGTAGACCCATGGGAGAAATGTCTCTCTGATTTTAATGTCAGGAATATTTGTCACCATGAGTAATGTGTTTGTGAGTTGCAGGAGCTTAGTCGAAAAGGTAGATTAAAGCCAGATCAAGGAGTGGTTTGACTCTTATGAAGTTGGAGAACTAGACTTTATTTAGAGATGGCATAAATGAAAACTCAAAAAAACAGCGCAAGGATAATTGTATCGACAAACTGAATCGTGTGACTAATCATGTTTGTTTCTCTTTGTTTTAGCTTCTAAAAAGCTTAGAGTCAAAAGTGGGCCCTCACCACTTGGATATATGGAACTGTACTCCATATGTTTTGCATATTAATCCCACTCTTGACTCCATATTACTTTCATACCTCTGTTTTCCCCTTGCCTGACTTTTTAATTTAGACTTAATATTTCTTGATATGTTTTACATGTTTTTATGAATGGTTTTAGGTCCTTTTGGGAACAAACCAGGTAATAACTAAACAAATCATCAACAAATACATGGAGACCCTACTCTGCATTAACTGCTTTGCTAAATATTAGGGCATAAAAAGGCATCAAACCTAATTAAGAGATATATGATGAACTGCCCTTTGAAATAATTTTATTTCATTTTCTGTCAAAAGATAATTGAATTAGAATAAATAAATTTATCTAACTTGAGGATCCTAATAATTTATGTGCTATACCAAACAAAAACAGAAACAAACTGAAAAACTCTCTTTATGGCGTTTTTTTCTTTTTTCTTTTTTACTTACTTCAGATGACTAAAAAAGCTTTTGATATCTCTCTCTCTCAAATGTTAAAGGTAGGTTGTTGGGTGGGTTATTGCTCACTTTATTTTAAAGCAGGCAGATTTCTCCTCTCCAGCCTGTAAGTAACTCATTGATTAAATTAAGATACTTCACAGAAAGCTCCAAGGAAGATGTCTTGAGTTGAGAAATTACATGGCTTTTTTGGATCAAATGCCTTATTACAGTTGTTTGGGAATTAGTATTTAAGAGAATTTCCACAAGTCAAGAATGAGGTGGGAGTTGAATCTGGAAAAAAGAGAGATGAAAGAAACAGCATGAACACATATGGGAACAAGGATCTGAGGGATGTGGTCAAGAAGAGGGAGAACTGGAGGAGCACAGAATAAGTGAAGAGGCGCAGCTAGAGATTAACATATTTTTACACAAATAATGCACGTCTTCTATATTTGTTTGCCAACCCGGCCCTCCCCCCTGCAAGGTATTTTCATAAGCATGCTATGCTATTTTTTTCAGCAACATGTAAGGAAATCTTTGCATAGAGGCACTTATGAAAATACATCACTGGGGGAGGGAGGGTGCAGTTGGCAAACAAACATAGAAGGTGTGCGTTATTTGTGTAAAAATACAGTGGCCTAGAAAGACAGACTGATACCAGATGATGGAAGGCTTCAACTACTAAGAAGTCAAAACTTTATTTAGAGATGACGTGAGTGAATGAAAAGTCAAGCAGATACAAGTGTGAAGACATGATGGCTATACTTCTTTCTTTTCTCATCCTGAAATCTGGACATTTGATCTCTTCAAAGTTTCTCACATTGGCCCGAACTGTGAGTGCTAGGGTCCAGAAGCCTCCTGACTTTTCTAGTGCTGCCCTGGCCCTTGTTATCTCTTCTGACTCCTGTAGAGAACACAAACACCTCAGTTCACACACACAGTGAACTGGAGCCCATGGAGCTTGTTCATAAGCAATTTTTTTTCCTATGAGTTCACGTAATCGTCGAGACTTATATAAGCTATATGATACAATGGATTTTATGTAGATCACACTCAAACACTGAGTATCTTGTAACCACACAAGGATGCCACACGGAGAAATCAAGTAACTGCTTCTGTCTGAGAAAATGTGCTGTAAACGAATGATACCAGCTCTCCACCTCAATCTCTGAAGCACCAGGTTGTCATATCTAGCTGCATTATCTTTGCCGTCCTAGTGCCTGACTACTAAGAGTACATGAATAAGCTTCACTACTTTGCACAGAGAAAAAAATTTTTTTTTTAGTTAAGACCTGATTGGAATGTTCTAAAAGAAATTTTCTTGGAAACAAAGCAGGAGAAGTGGACCCTAAAATCTAGAAAATGTAATTGCATGAGAATGGATGAGGTGGCATACATTATAACTAAAATGTATCCCGTTTTTCTTAATGTTATCTAGCCTAAATGAGTCTCAGCCTTCACGCACACCTGATTCTTCATCTTCAATCTAGGTGTTTCTCCAAGTTTTTCCTTATAACCACCTGACCCAATCAAGTCTTTCTTTGGTCTTTGCCCCACACTGTAAAAAAGAAATTTCCCTACTTAAATCCCATGATTCTGATCCTGAACTTCAGATCACCCATTCAACAAATATTTAGAGTACCCCTATGTGCCAGGCCCTGTGGCAGATGCTGGGATAAAGTGAAGCACAAAGCAGACGTGGTCCCTACTTTTATGTACTTCATAGGCCACTTGAGGAGACAGACTTGAATTAAAGAAGGTACAAATAAACATAAAATTAAAGCTGGTATAAGTGCTCTGAAGGAAGTGTAAGTGCTCTGAAGGAAGAGTTTAGGGTTTGATGAACATGCATAATAGGAAGACAACTCAGTATAAATACATGTTTCCAAGATTAAGTCATTGGCACTCTTTCTTTTCGGTGTGTTTGCTGATTTACCCATCCCAGTGCCTCCCTATCTTCCTTTTTTTTTCCTATTCAGAGAGAGTGATGGCCATTAGAATTAAACCAAACCAAACCAAATCAAACCCACTGCCATCAAGTCAATTCCGACTCACAGATGAGTCAGAAATAGACCCAGGGAAAATAGGATCACAAGGATATTCCTAGGTAGATTAAAATGTTAACAGACAAAAATTAAACGTATACCTTCACGTTTATAATTAGGTGTGGAATTTCAAGAGCTCTGGAAAAGATGTTGGTGTTAAATTGTTCCACCAAATTACTGGTACTGGAGAAAATGTTGAAGAGTCACTTTCCTGAATCACTCAAGGTACTATCAACTTGAGTTGCATTTTATTAACTTGTGAAATAATGTCAAACATATGACTTTTCCTAATTTTTTTCTGATGACAAGACTCTGGAAGCACTTTTAAACAAGAGGCTCCCCAGGTCCTTCCCACTACAGAATGATTCAGTGGCTTATGGATGAGGCCCAGGGAGTTATATTTCTGAGAGTCACTATAGATGATTCTTAAGAGAAATTTAGGTAACACTGGACTAGATTACTTCTACAAGTAATCTATAAGTACTTCTATAAGAATATAGCCTAGGTAAACAATAGAACTGAAATTTAGAGGCTCTAAAATTTTTTTCAGCTTATTGTAAGATCTTTGTTTTTAAAGTTTTTGTTCAATGGTTTTGTTGGTGATCAAGCCTCTATCTGTTGAAGGTCTTCTGAAAGTCCCAGAGGGCCTGCTATTAACTAAGGGCTACTATGGGAGGTGACATTAATTAACAACAAATAAACATAAGATTAGAACTATGACAAGCACTTGGGGGAAATGAAGAGTGCAATGAACATGTTTGTAAGGACTGAATTTCTTGAGCAAAGAGACAGTCCTAGGACAGTGGTTTTTAAATGTGAGTGGCATACAAATTACACAAGAGAGACACAATGAGTCAGAATTTCTGAAAACAGAGACCAGGGACCTGCGTTTTTAACAAGCTCTCTGGGAAATCCTTACGTATGCTAAAATTTGAACAAAACCAATCTAGAGAAATCCCTCTAGTGTACTATACAGTGCTGATTAAATCTGGTCATCTTGCCTTATTAATTGTGCTTAAATTGTACGTGATGGGAAAAATCTGAGTAATAATTTCGAATTATATGGCTAAAAAGGATTAGGATAGTGATAAAGAAGATAAAATATTGTTTTTTTTTTCATTAACATATAATATATACTGGCAAATGCACACAAAATAATTACACAGCTCAATGAATTTTCACAAAGCACATACTTGTGTAACATCCATTTCGGTTGAGAAGGAACATTATTTCTGATGCTCGCCTTCCCCTAAGTTCCCTTCCAATCACTACCTCTTCCTCCTCCCCAGAGGTAACCACTGTCTTGACTTCTACAGTCACAATTTAGTTTTGCCTCTTTTGAATGAAATATAAATTGAATCAAACAGTAAGTATCCTTTTGTATCTAGCTTCTTTTGCTGGACATTATGTTTGTAAGATTCATCCACACTACCCCATACTCTGTGTGTTGTTGTGTGCGCTCGAGTCGTTTCCTACTCCTAGTGACCCTATAGGACAGTTTCGTAGGGTTTCCTGCCCCATAGAGTTTCCTAGGCTGCAATCTTTATGGGAACAGATTACCGGATCTTTTCTCCCAAGGAGTGGCTGGTTGGTTCGAACCACTGAGCTTTTGGTTAGCAGTCCAGCACTTTAACCACTGCGCCACCAGGGCTCCTTATACTCCATGTAGCAATAGTTTATTCATTTTCATTGCTGTTTCGCAGTCCATGGTATGAATATTCCACAATTTATTTATCCATTCTGCTGTTAATGAACATTAGGGTTGTTTGCTGTTGAACACTGGCCTAATGAGTTCTCCTCATTTCCACCACAACTTTCTCCAACCTCTTCTATAAACACATATATCATATATGAAACTTGTAGGACAAATATATTTTCTTCTTTGCATGGGAAAAAAATGTGAAAAGCACAGAAGAGAATTTTAATATTATTCTTGTATTGTGGCCTTCAAATGATGTTTACGTAACTCAATGTCGAAGGTGTGGCTGTATTTCATGGATTATTATCAGACAGTACAATGATCTTCAAAAGCAGGTGGGCATCAAAATTATCTGTGAAACTTTTTAAAGATGCATGAGCCCCAAATCCATACATCAGATTCCAATTCATTCAGTATTCATTGCATACCTTTATGTCAATCAACAACCCATTAAGCCTATCAATTTGTACCTCTCACTGTTGTACTATTAAAAAAATGATAATAAAGGTTTGGGGAGTGTTTTCATAGGATTTTTATAGACTTAGGGACAATTTCTTGTGCACTAGTGAAATAACAGAAGTTTGTGTGTGTGTATTGTGTATATGTGTGTGTATAATTTCCCCTCTCATGGGCATGACTGTAGTAGGACAAGAAGTGAAAAGAGTAATGCATAAGTGAAACAACTACTGGCATGATTTACTTGTTTCTCTGGGTTCTGTGGCTCAGGTTTATGGAGCAGTAATGAACATAAATCGTGGAAATCCTTTTCAAAAGGAAGTAGTGTTGGATTCATGGCCAGACTTCAAAGCTGTCATCACCCGGCGGCAGAGAGAGGTATAGTTTTGAAAGACAAAAAAATAAAGAGTCGGCATCAACTGAGAAGAAAAGATTAGGTAAAAGGGATGTTAACCGTGCTAGCATATAGATAGGTTAACAAGCTACATATTTCACTATTCCTAACTTGACTAGCTTTGGAATGTCAGACATATGGAAAGCCCTATAGTCTTAACTATTTTCAGTGAAGTGTTTCCTTAATGTCTAGAAGCACTAAATATTTTCATTGACATGTTTCCTTGATGTCTAGAAGCATGAAACACTCATGTTTGATTTTTACAGGCTAGTTTTTCCATGACTTTGGTCATGTAGATAAATACGGGAGAAAATTAAAGACATCATTCACCCCATTCTGCCTCTGAGAACAAAGAGAGGCTCAAGTGATCAAAGATGTACTCCCTTGACTGCATAAGGAAAGTTCTGAGAGTTCTTGGTTATTCTAGGTGGATCTGTTGAGTTATACCCTTTTTATTTTTATAAATATATGAATTATATATAGTCAGCTAATAATAGAAATTCCTTGCTAAGTCAATCCCAGAAACAGATGAAATAAATGTCTTAAATCCTCCCTAATATGAATGGAATATCTTCTTGGAAGAATGAATCAATCAAAAGTCTTCAAATTTCTTTTCTTCCCCTCACTACAGCATATTAGTCACATTCCCACTTAGCCAGTGTTTTATAGGTGGTTAATTTTGGTAATGGAAAATTATCTAGACATAACCTGCTAATGATATCTAATCTGTTTAGGATTTGGGCTATCCAGAGGATATGTTTCATGTTTTTATGATTATGTCCTCTGTCCTACGCTGAGACAGATAACCTGGACCGTTATACTAATGCCTATGCTGTGTTCTACAAGGATGTTAGGGCTTACCAACAGCTATTGAAAGAACATGATGTTATCAACTGGGACCAGGTCTTTCAAATACAAGGTGAGGTCACGTGCAAGATACTGATACACTATGCAGTCATTTTTTCCCACCTTTTTATCATATATATCAAATAGGTAGATAGAAAAATAGATAAGGAAGGAGGGAGGGAGAGGGGGAGAGATGATACACATACATGTATATCTCATTATCACTCATATATACATATATAATATATATGCACGCACATACATACATATATGCATAAACACATATATATACACACATATATACATACATTTTATGTACTTATAATTTATGTATTATAGTTTTATAAGGACACTTGTTACTCCTAATGAGGATTGGCCTTTGGGGTAGGGGGATGCTATTGAAATGGGGCTGCTTTTAAGTGACACATTCTTTCCACCATTACTATAGTTTGGATATTAATGTGTATCACAGACTATTTTTCCTTATTGCTGTATTAATACTTTCATATCACAGCCTTTTAAATAAGTGTGATTCAAGTGTGAGCCAATAGGTAAGACTTAATCTTCTTTTTGAAGATGATGATTCTGGAAAGAGGTAATCAACAGAACTGCATAAGACATCCTGAAATGATTTTACAAGAAAACTGTCTTTGGGAACTCTGAGGATAATTGCACGGCTATTGATGCTAGTGGTAGAAATTTAGGCAAGAGCAGAGGTAGGTTAAGAGTCTGTGATAGTTCACCTGGACAATTTTAGCCTCAGTGTACCACTACTCTTTTTACTTTTCTGAATGTTTGAGGGTAATACAGGTGTTGAAATAGCTGTTTTGAGGGAAAGATCTTAGAGTTCCTTTATTAGTGTTGCAGGGAAATGAATTTCTTGATAATTTGGCAAGAAGGTAAGGATTCCCTATGTTGAAATACAAGGTCTAGTAATTTTTTTCAGCCACAGACAACTGAAGCCTTCTAACAAGGAAAACTTGTATCCACCCAGAAAATTTATAAAGAATAACTCATGCATATTTGTAAGCTAAATTTGGGGCAGAGGTATAAAATCCATTGGTAAATACTCAAAAACACCTTGTGGAGGAAGCTCTAAACCGTCTCCCATCTTTGCAGATTTACCCTCGTTGTGCTGATTAGAAGGGAGAAAACCCAAACTCATTGCCATCAAGTTGATTCTGACTCATAGCGACCCTTTAGGACAGAGTAGAACTGGCACACAGAGTTTCCAAGGATCTGCTGGTGAATTTGAACTGCCAACCTTTTGGTTAGCAGCTATAACTTTAACCACTCCGCCACCAGGGCTCTGATGTTTTTATCTCCCCCTTAGCCAATTTTGAAAATTTTTCTCACTAGGATTACTTTAATGTGGAAATTAGTGTAGCTCTTCCTTGATGTGAAAAATCATGGCAGTAATTGAATGAATCTTGGCGCTATAAGCCTGCTATCCTCAAATCACCTGATTCCATCTTTATGGGGACAGCATCCTTGTAATTGCCAATATTTTTTTTTTTTCCCCAGAAGATTGAGCTGTGAACTGAGTCAGTTTACAGTCTGTCTAAATTGACCTAATCATCCTTCTGAAGGTTTGGTAGGGACAGATGTGAATTAGCATCACCTAATATAACTGACTACCACCTGTCTGTCAGTTTGTTGTGCTATGGTGGCTTGTGTATTACTATGATGCTGGAAGCTATGGCACTGGTATTTCAAATACCAGCAGGGTCACCCATGGTGAACAGATTTCAGCAGAGCTTCCAGATGTAAGACTAACTAAGAAGAAAAGCCTGGCAATCTACTTCTGAAAATTAGCCAATGGAAAAACCTATGGATCACAATAGAATATTGTCCATATAGTGCTGGAGATGAGCCCCCTAGATTGGAAGTCACTCAAAATACATAGTGTCCACAGCAATAGACTTGAGCTTACCAGCAACTGTGAAGATGGTGCAGGACTGGACAATGTTTTGTTTTGCTGTACGTGGAATCACCATGAGTTAGAGATGACTTCAGAGAAACGTACCAGCAACAACAATATAGCTGGAGTGATAAAGACTCCCAACTTAGCATGTAAGTCAGAAGCCTTTGGCTTCTGACGTGATTTCTTAGCTATGGGTTTCTGTGATAATATCTGAAATACTGAATAGTGTCTAATAGCATTCTTTATTATTCTTAACCGGAGGTCATATTATTCTTAGTCAAAGTCATAAATCCTATGTTTCCATAAATCCCCAAATCATGAACAACTCCAAAATCAGATTTACTGCCCATGTAAACGTTCATTCTTTTTTTTTTTTTTTTTTTGCCACAGTGCAGGTTCAAGTCATAGCTATTTGTTGGGCTAGCTGAGAAGACCAAGCATTAGGCAGTGGAACTGGACAGGGATGAGTGTTCAGAGAAACAGCACATCCTGCACAGGGAATACCTTTTTCATTTTTAACATAAGAGCCATACATACCCATACAAAAAACAAACTCTTTGCCGTTAGGTTGATTCCAACTCCCAGCGACCCTAAAGGACAAGAGTAGAATTGCCCCATAGGGTTTCCAAGGAGCAGCCGGTGGATTCGAACTGCCAACCTTTTGGTTAGCAACCGTAGCTCTTAACCACTATACCACCAGGGCTTCCAGAGCCATCCATAAACAATATTAAATCAGGGTTAGCTAAAGGAGTGGTTGTAAGATCAAATACAGGTATCCTTAACTCCTGAATTACTGCCAAATAGTAATGTTTTTCAACTGGAAGAAGGAGTAAAGTTGTAGAACTAAGATTTGAACAACATTGGAAACTGATATATGAAGCAGACAATACTAGAATTTTCTAGGTGGTAAGGCGACTAACTGAGAAATGTTGAGTGTTACCTAAACACAATGAGGATCACGTTGCTTATGAAACCTGTGGAAGAAAAGTCCTTATCCCAAAGTGTAAAGGGTATATCGTCTAACAGTGTTAAGGAAAGGTCAGTAAATGCATAGAAACTGAGGTATTGAGTGCTGCTGTAACGTAGTTTGTAATTTAGTTCTGTGAAGAACATTTAATTTAGTATTCCCATTGACAGAGCCATTCCAACTTATTAAATTAGCAGGAACAGTAAGGTAGTGTGTTTTGCTAATGGACTGATTGAAACTGGTGAAGATGGTGAGACTAGCAAAATTATAGGTTCATTGGATAACAATTAAGGCTCCATTATTTTATTAGAATTCTGAGGAATGGGTTATGATGAAGCAGTGGAATTTAAGGTAAAAACAGTGTAAAAAATGGGATGGTGGTGGCATCTGACTTCCTCTAACTTCACAAGGTGGAAGGAGAATCCAGATCAACAGCCCAAAGCTGATTGCTAAGAAGCAGAGGTCAGACATACCTCCTCTCTGCACCATCTTTACCAATTCTGATACCATCCATCCCTCCAATGACACTCTCTACTTCTCTGCTGTATTTGATAATTCATTGTAATGGCCACACAGAACTCAAAGACCATACTTACAGTTATGGGGTTTATTAAGGAAGTTACATATTACAATTTAGGTTCAGAAACGCTCAGTATACAGTTCTTCAATCAGGACAGCCTCTTCTTAGTCATGCCCATAGGCAGGTCTCTCTCTGGCCCTCAGCCCCTCAGCCTGGCCTCTGCCTTGCTCCGACAAGTGTTAAAAAGCTCTTGTAGTTCTGCGGATACATGCTCAGAGGCACCCCACGTCACCAGTAAGCCTTGGCCTGAAGGTGCTCAGCTCTAGATCCATGGGTTGGCAAACCTAGCTCAATCAAGTATGCAGAGGCACCCTAAACTCTGCCAGCAAGCCTTCTACCTGAAGGTGCTCAGCTTTCTCATTCCATGGCTGGGAAGCCCACCATGCCGTCTCCTGGTTCCCAGAGCTTCTCAGCACAGGGATCCTTGGCCCAAAGGATGAGCTCCACTCCTGGCTCTTTCTTGGTGATGGTGAGATCCTCCCTTCCCACCTCTGGGATGGCTCTTTTTAAGCCTAACGTGACGGCAAAACTGACCAATTCCCTTGGTGGGCCACAATTACCTTATTTGCATCCCAAACGAAACCAAACCTGTTGCCATTGGGTGGATTCCGACCCATAGAGACCCTAGAGGACAGAGTAGAACTGCCCCACGGGGTTTCCAAGGAGCAGCTGGTGGATTTGATTGCTGACCTTTTGGTTAACAGCCATATCAGTTAACCACTGCGCCACCAGGGCTCCTTAGTCCCACCCAATTACTTGGGTTGTAGTTACAAGACCACGGTGAGAAAGGCCATATTAAAGTGATCCATTGCACCACAAACGGTAATGTCTCTATCCCCTGTTAATTTGTAGGCCTGTCCTTGAACATTAACTTCATTTTGACTGTCTGGTCATAGCAATGGAGTGCTACTGAGATTCTCTGAGAAATGTCATTATCAGATCTCTATAGTGGCTCATTGGGCTCCTATTTTCACCTTTAAATGAAGCTCATTATTTAGTGTTAGAACTCTATATTCATTCCACATGCTCCCTGTTGTTGTTAGGTGCTGTCAAGTCTGTTCCGACTCATAACAATGCTAGGATGGTTCTTTTCCTAGTCAGTCTTGGGAAGAAATGTTCGTTCCTAAAGGAGATGTTTGATTTAAAAGAACAGACTTGTTATTGTTACTTTTTCCTTCGTGTTTTTCTTTTAGGATGCTCTGACAATATTCTACCACCTATTGTAATCATGTAAATTGGCTACTTGCTAATCCACTCAAATTTGCCTCAGGAAGCTGGTTCTTTCTGAGTTCAGCCTGTAAGCAAGAAGCTGACAGGCTGTGCCCTAGGATTCCGCTGAATCTGTACCAAAATATTGCCTAAAGATTCTGGTGACTCTCTAATTTCTGTCACTGATTCTGAATCACTTTGCAATTTTGGATTTTGGTGAATTTATTTTGGTAGAGAAGGCTTCTGGAATGGCCTAAAGCAAATACTTCCTTATTTCTTTAGCTTTCTGTAAATTTTCTTCCCATTCATGGTATCTTATCTGATCTATAATTTTATTTGGCCCTTTAGAACCATCTTTAACCTTCTGAAGGGGAAATTAATAGCTGTACAAAT